GACTATTGTGGTGGTTTTTGTTGCGTATCCTTAGTATTTTCAGAAGTAGTCTGGTTATTACAAACGATTATTACTATGATTGCTAGTATTGATGATACTCAATATTATTAATTACTGTTATTACTATTATTACTATTATTACTATTATTACTATCATATTCTGGTTGCATGTTATTGCTCATGACAACTCAACTGACGCTTGTGATGATCCCGAGGGACGATGTTCAACGACGGAAGCCATGAGGGAATGGGTCACGTCTTCGGGTACCCAAACTAGTTATGAACTTCTGATCGCCCAAGCAATGTGTGTATATATATATATATGTAATTATATATAAATATGTATATATATATATATGTATATATAATATACATATATATATATATGCACCACACAGTCATTGCCAGGATTCATTGCCAGTGATTTCCCAATGCATTTTGCATTTTGCGCCTGTGTAGAGAAATTCCAATGGACCAAGCCATTGGTGACAGCACCGATCCAAGTTCTGGGGATCCCCAAGTCAGCATTGTTGAAAGGGTGCCCCCATGAAATAGGACACCTCCATATCCATGGTCCATATCTAATAGTATGAGATACTGTGGATGGAAGAAATCCTGCACCACCTTGGATGGTTGAACCCCTATAAATAATGGGATAAACCACCTATCAACTGGTGCAGGATTTCTTCCATCCACCGTATCACAAGCACTGTTTTCTCCCTGCTAAAGTGTCTTGTAATTACGAGCTGGGACCACTGAACAACCCACAAAGAAGCCGGAAATAAACTGGGTCAACCCTGAGTCCTTTGATACTCTTGCCATAAATGGGGAATCATGGGTATATTTACCAACATTCACCAAACATGTTTTTATTGTTTTATTGTAGGGTAGCTAAGATTGATGCATGGAAATAATCCTTAACATGATAGACACCTGGCGTAGTTCGTTATTCTCATCTATAAGAATCATGATAAAGGCGCCGCCAGATTGGCAATTGAATGGTTAGGTGATCCCGTGATCCCTGCAACTTGGTCACCCCAAAATTCTGGGATTAGGAAAGACAAAACCCCGAATGTTTTTCAAGATTGTTGATTACATTGATACGAGTCCCTGCGTAAATGGGTAACGGCCTTTGATAGGCTCATTTATATAATCGTTTGTCAGTACACATAGGATTACAGTATATTATATCCCATCTTTCTGTTACTCTGCATACGAGAGAAATCCTCTATGATCCTCTGTGGAGCTTTCCTAAACTGGGTACCCCCTTGCATCATCCATTTTAATAGAATGTTCATGGATGTTCCATGAATAATCCATTATAAAATCATCCATTATAATCCATTATAAACCATCCATTATAATCCATTATAAACCACCCGCATCATCCATTTTAATAGGATTTTCCCATTATAAACCATCCAGCTATTGGGATACCCCCATTGATGGGTTTCCCCCACTTTCAACCCCCCAAACTTTCCGAAAGGTCGGTACCCTGCAACGATTGCCCGGCAACTCTGTGGCTGTCATGGCTTCATCGAAAATTTCATCACGACCTCACTGTTCTCCCTCACTGGATGAAAGGTTAGTTTTTGGGGAATCATCCCCAAATAGCCAATAGCCTTATTTCAGATTAGTGAATTTTTATTTAATTTACCCAGATGTTTTCAATTGTTAGAGAACCATCTCTCAGGAACCAGATGGTTCCCTCATTGTAAAACCCTTCAGAATGTCGATATACTCCCAGTTGTCCATGTCAAAATCCCAGTTTGCAGTGCTTGCAGTGACATTGAGTCTTGTGTTACCCTCTGGTAATCAAACATGGATTGCTGGAAATCACCCATTTCTATAGATTATTATCACTAATATCACTATCACCATTAAATTATACATACAAAAATAATGGTTTTAACTACTATATATATATGTATCACCATTTTATGTATCATTATATATATAACTATATATATAAATCACCCTTATATGTATATATATAATTATATATAAATCACCCTTATATGTATATATACATATATATATATATATATTGATCCCAATTTTTTGTGGATCCAAATCGCCAGCTGCGAAGATTGATTCGAGGCCGAAGATCGTGGGCAATGACTCCGTGGTGCGGGAGTTGGCCTTCACAGGAGAATATGTTTATTTTTAGATGAGCCATGGGCCGCAAGCATGTTGATTTATGGTGGATTTAATTGGATTTGACCAACAAAAATGAAATGTCATGGGCTTGAAGCAGTAAAAATGATGATTTAACCATCAAACATGGGTGTATGATAAGATACAATGAGATAAAATGGGGAGCATTGGGCCGTTTGCTCCTTGCATTTGCATGCAAGGCCACCACAAGAACTTATCACACGTTTGGTTGTGTGAATGTGCTGATTTAGTAGACATTCCAATGATCATATATACGTACCCATTTGATTGTATATCCATTATGATGGTTATATAGTAAGTATACATCATGTACCCTCTGGTAATTTAACATAGCTATTGAACATGGCAATTTATAGTGGATTTTCCCATTAAAAATGGCCATTTTCAATAGCTATGTTAGTTTACCATCCAGTAGTCACACCTGCTGGCGAAGGACGAAAGATGGCGTCTGTGGAGGCTAAAGAGTTGGGTCTCGTGGGCAAGATCTTTGCCACACGTCCGGAGACCCATGCGGTACCCCAGATCTACGGGAAAAACCAGTCTTCCAGGTGACATGTTGAAACAATGATTATGGAATAACCATGAATAAGCTCCAACGAACTATAAGTAACTGCTGGTTCATTGATTTTATTGGATATTGCCATTCCGGGGTTTTGTAGGATGATTTAGGAGGTTATTTGGGCTTGTCTGAAACTGGGGAACAAACAAAGCAGATGTACCATGATGTATCAACAGTGGTACGTTATAGGTATACCATACATGGGACAGCCAAGTGCCGAGCAGAACTGTTGGGATGGATTAAAATATTCTCCCAGAAATGCTGAGTTGTCTTGACTCATTTGTTTAGCATCCGATCAGCCAGTTGGGCTCCACTGGTTTAGCCAGTTTTAGAAACATCAGTGAAAAATCAGTTTTGGACAAAATAGTGAAAACAAATTACTCGTTTATTCAAATTTTACCCAGTTATGGATCTGAGTCAACATTGGGGCAAAATTGGATGATTTTTTACCAGTCCTACCGTGTACGTCGTGACGGGCTTTCAATCTTGACCTACAATCGAACCAACGTAATATTATGGACTCTGGACGTGTATATTATATTGTTTATTATATATATATGATATACAAATACATGATATATATATATTAGTATATGAGAATTCGACGTATATATATATATAAGTAATTATATGTGAATACATATACATATATATATATATATTATATGAGAATATATATATATATATATGTATGCATGTACGCACACCCACACAAACCGAAAATTGTCCAACATCTGGGCTGCGAGCCCAATTTTAAAGGTCAATCCCCTCCAAAGTAAATGGTCATTTTAAGATCCAGGATGTATATATATATATATATATACTTACATAATTATGTGCCTATCCCACTAACAATCCAGACATAGCCAGACCCAACTGGACCATTTATAGTGGTGATTATAGACCATATCCATTTGGGGTTTGCAACGTACATACATGCATGCGTGCATATAGATACATAGATACATAAATTCATAAATAAGCACATACCTACCTACATGCCTACCTACATGCCTACCTACATGCCTACCTACATACCTACCTACATACCCATCACATACCCACCACATACCCACCACATACCCACCACATACCCAGCACATACCCACCACATACCCACCACATACCCACCACATACCCAAATACCTGCGTACCTATGTACCCACGTACCTACGTATCTACGTACCTACGTACCTACGTACCTACGTACCTACGTACCTACCTACCTACCCACCCACCTACCTACCAATATACCTACGTACCTGCATACCTACATACCTTCATATCCACATACCTATTCGTGCATGCAGCAAGGCGAAGACTGCCTGGCGGCAGCGCGGAAGGTGGCGCAGGAGCGAATTTGCCCATGGCCAGGGGATGCTGGACATTCTATGGGGTCTTAAGCAACAAACATGTGGATTGTTGATGATTGCCCCCAAAAGTTAGGGATAACATGAGATGTTTTTTCTTTCAGCAACCTTGATTCATGGAGAATTGATGGATGATTTATGGATGATTCATAGATTGGATGAATTGATGGATTATCTATGCAGGAATTAGGAATGATTTTCTGATCTATGGATGATTGGGTGGTTTACGGCTGGTTGATGGCCAATGAATAAGTGGGTGATTTATCAGCCATGATTGGAGGTTTCTCTTACTTTTGGGCTAGCCCAAAACCATAGGTTTTCCCGCTACAAGAATAACTTCAATGAATTTGGGGCCTTCCATGCTAGCAAACCACCATGAGTGGGTGATTTGCGGGTGATCGAATGATGATTCATGGCTGAATCATGGATGATAGAAGCACAATATCCACAATGGATGGATGGATCAGCTGGATGATACCACAGTCATCGGATGATTGGATGAATCATCATCAACTCTAACTGGTTTCCATATATTCAAATTTATGTATATTTATGTTGTATGATGTTACATTTGTGGTGTGTTGAAATTTGTGGAGACTAGAGATGGGACAGTCTCAAACGGCCATTGCCAACTTACTTGTTTGGCACATGATGTTGCTTTCACACTGATGGTTGAGCGAATCCTCCTGCAGCTTATGCGGCCCCTGGGATAATCACTGACAAAACAAGCCGCCAATTTAACGATTTAACACCTTTGTGACAGTAGCTGCACGAAGTAAACTAAGGAAAAACAAACACATCTATTTTAGCCTTCACAAGAAGCCCTGACAAAGTCGCATGGCAGTTTCACCATGGTATGTCAAAAGTGTTCCTAATCCTCTTATGATTCGTGGCCCTTGTTTTCGCTGCCACCCAAATTGGCCATGCTCGTCCTCTTCACCGCCCTGACCTGTGCATGGTCCGCACCGTTGCCGGTGCCTGCCACCGTGCGCTCGGAGGGAGGACGGCTGGACATCGTCCTGACCTTGGAACGCGCCACCATCATCACCTCGACTGGCGTGACGCTGAAGACCCGGGCCTTTAATGGGACCGTGCCGGGACCCACCATCCGCTTGAGACCTGGTTTGGAATGCTGGGATTGACGTGAAAATGGGGGCACTCAAATTCAGTTTTTCTATAGGTTTTCCTAATGAATTGCGGGTTGTTTGACATACCCCATGTTGAGACAAACCCAACTTGATGCCAAGATCTGAACGCATAATTAATGATGATACCAATCGAAATGTGATAATTAGTTGAGTTGAGTTGGTTCTTAGTTTTTTTCCAGACTTGCCCAAAGCTGTTGGTTGAGTTGATTTGGCCCTATTTGCCCGAAGATGATCCGAGTGCTGCAACAAATCTACCATGTCTTCGAGCATCTATGACTGATATGGTCAGTTTTTCGTTGCAGTTGGCCTCCCAGGAAGCCCGGGGACGATTTGACGGTCCACTTCAAAAACCAGCTGCCGGACCAGGGAAGCGCGTACGTGCACAACCAATTCTCGGCAGCAGATGAGTCCAACGTGCACTTCCATGGGCTGCATGTCAGTGGTGAGTTACCTTCCGATGATTCCACAGTGCCTGTTTTGCCAGGTGCCGAGACAAAATGACAAATCACGTGGGGTGCTGAATCTTTGATTCTGTTTGTTGCTTGAGCCATTCGCATGTACTCAAGTGATGACACCTTGACCAACCTCTACCGTCTACCGCCTAAAAAATGGCCCACACTTGTGGGCGAGGACCCCGTAGTGCTGCAATTTTGAGCAGTAGCCTTGACATTGTTGGAGTAGTTTCAACATGTAGGAGTTGATGTTATATAATCCATGATGTGTTGGTGTCCATGCTTGAAATTGTCAAGCTATTCCTTTCCATAGGTACCCGAGAAAAGCATGGTTTACTAAGGAAATCACCAACATCAGTGGTCCCCTATGGCATTATCGTGTCCTACATTTCAAATTTTGAGAATTGATTCAACCCATCTGTGAGGTCAGGATATGGTTTATCAAACCTCACTGCCGGATGACCACATGGCTGGCACCCATTGGCTCCATCCTCATCGGCATGGCTCTACTGCGTTGCAGGTGGCGGGTGGGGCAGCGTTGGCCCTAATTGTGGAAGATGCTCCAGGAACGCTGCTACCGGCTGGTGTTTGGCAAAGTTTAGGTATATATGGTCATTTGCGTCATATGTTATATAGTTATATTATGTTATATTTATATATTGTGTTTGATGTTGACATTTTTTTGGGGGCACTTAGCCGTATGACCGGGGAAATTCTGAGACCTGTGTCCCAGTTGAATCCATAGTAACTATGGCACTTGCCCCATGGAAGGATGATCCGATGATCCCCAAAGATTCCCCAACACGTTTCCAACTCCCAGGCCAGCCCAAGTGGAAGCCGCGCCCGAAGTGCTGATGGTCGTGATGCAGATCGATCTCGAAATGACTCAGCGCATTGCGTCCCGCGCCGGCGACTCCTGGTTTCAGCTCTCCGATGGATCGCTTCAGGCCTTGGTCAATGGTGAGGTGAACCCGAGCATCGCGGTGGCTGCGGGAGAATGGACGCGATTTCGAGTGATCTATGCTGGCTGGTTGGCAGAGGCGCTGAACTTCAATGTTGGATGTGAGATGGTCCTCTTGGCCAAGGACTTGGGGTGATGTTACGATGATTTCTTTTCCCATGATGGATGATGGAATAGTTGTTGGAATCCGCATGAAATACCTGAGTGTATATTTTTTTTCGAAGGTTTCCGATGTGCAATGAAGATAAACTCAGATTTGTGGGGCAATTGGTCTTGTACCATGAAGAACTTCAGTCTAAATGAGATGATCATCTCGGTGGTTAGAGAGATTCCAATGGTCATGCATCACAGGTCACCAGTCAACACTGGTACTCCCAAATTGGATGGTTGAATCATGACATGTCATGATAATGACCCCTGATATCCCCTGATTTTGTTTTGGGGACCACCTTGAGACCTTGACCAGAACCCAGATGAGTGAAAGACATTACAACGCACACTACTGTACAAGTAATTGTAGAGCCTCCGAAAACCGGTTTAAGAATGAATTTTCACAATTTGATGATGCTTTACCCTACTATCTTTCTAAGCCCCCCCCATATCAATGGCTCAATATATACGGGGCCTACTCCCTGTGTTTTTAGATGCCATAAATTTGCTCAGCGATGCCCAGTGAAATCTCTGCTCAGATGGACCATGGGATCAGCTAACTGGTTAGTAACTGGGTTATTTATACAACTTTAACATACTTTAATCCAATTCGATTCCATGTACTAACTACTATAGTTAACAGTTAACATTAGTTAACTAACTCCATGGTCCATGGCCCCAAAGCGCAGGATGGTATCTACATCCGCGACTTCCCCCGCACCTTGACCGGCGCCGCGCCCATCCCCGCGGGCGGCCGCGCGGATTTGATGCTGCGCTGCCCCGAGGCGAACGCCGAGTATCCGGTGACCTGGGGTGGAAACACCATCGCCACGGCCACGCAGCCGCAGCGCATGGAGGGTGGAGGTTTTTTCAAGCGACAGACCATGGAAAATGGCCCATAGAAATAGATGGTTTACCTATTAAAAATGGTGATTTTCCATGGCTATGTTAAATAACCAGATGGTATATTCTGGGTCAATTGTAGTGACCTCACTGCGACCCCACTGGAATCATGGTTAGGGCAATCATCCAAAAAGAACCGTAGTTCACGTCAGTGAAAGATTGTAATTGACCCAGAAATCCTAAAAATAAATCTACAGCCTACCGAACAAGGCTGCTGCAAACCGGTGTAGAGTACATATCGGTGGCAACTATACCTGAGCAGAAAGCCCTATGCTGGGTTGCGACACACAAGTGGGGAAAATCGGCAGCTACTGTACCAACAATATCCAACAATTGAGTATCATAGTCCATCTGTACCTGTGGTACCTGAAACGGTGGTGTTGTGCCATCTAATTAAGTTTGCATTACCATCCTGTAAGTGAACATAGCTGTGGAATATTAAATCACCTGTCTTCATAGATATGTGATTCAATGATATTCAATGTAATTCAATGTACTTCATCTAAAGATTGGCCATTTTCCATAGCTATTTACAGAATATGTTCCATGATGTTCCTTTTTTTGGCCGTGGAGTATTTCACCTCCAGGCCTTGTTTGAACGGCACCTCCAGGTCGTTTTTTTTTTTCCCAAAGTGGTAACGATCAAGTCCCAAAATGGATGTGTTTATATATAACATGTTTTTGCATCTTAAATCTTGACACTACAAATATGAGAAGACAAAACAAACATCCATTTTTTTTAGAATATGGAACAAAAATCCTCAAACAATGGATGAATATTAGTGTACTATATGGTACACGAGCTCCCAAAATGGCCGGTTTAACATGCTTTTCCCTCCAGTAGTGTAACATAGCTATGTAAGCCATGGCCCATTTATATGATTTTCTCCATTAAAGATGGAATGTTCCATAGCTAATCTCATCTCTAATGCCAAAAATAGTGATGTGTACATTTTCAGATAGCCTCTGGTTCTCAGAGATAGCAGCCAAAACAGATAATAAGTACTATATAAATATATGTAAATATATGTATATATAAATATATGCATATATATAATTATATATATAAATATGTGTGTATATATATAATCCTCTGTTTAGTACTAAATCCTCCATTTTTATATGTTATAAATTATAAACAACCAGCTAATTTTTCATTTCGCTCCACCGAATGAGGTGATCACTGGAGAGATGAAAGCCACGGCGGACTTGGAATCCTGGAGCCCCAGCTACCCCAGTGACTTGGCGGCGAAAACTATGGTTGACGGTTCATGGACGGTTAAGAAAAAGTGGTTAGTAGTGGTTAGTAGTGGTTGTGCTTGATGGATTTGATGGTTAATTGTGATGAATAACGGTGATTTACGATGTTTGATGGGTTTACCCTCTGGTTATGTAAGAGTTTGCTACGGAAAATAAATGAAAATAGCATATTTATAGATAAAATGATGATTACCTACAAAACAAAATGGTGATGTTCCATAGTTTCACAGCAACACATGGAGATGACTCTGCTCGACCTGATACTTTCGCGAGCTTTCAGTAATATGTGGGGGTTTCTCAAAATTGGGGGGATCTCCAATAGCTGGATGGTTTATTAAATATCCATATTAATCATCCATATTGATATTTTAATCATCCATATCAATAATCCATATATGAATCATCCATATCAATCATCAATATCACATATTTTAGATATGGATGATTCGGGGGTACCAGCATTTTTGGAAACCTCCATATACAGTGTCTCGAGGTCTCCGAGGTCTCCGAAGTCGGAGTACCCCAATTTTGCTATCAATGGGAAAACCAATGGTTTGTGGTACCCATATTTTATGAGACCTCCACATACTGTATGTCAATATGACACACATATATATATATATATATATATATCAGAAACAAAAACTCATTTATGGTCGACTGTCCTATACTCAGTTTTTCCCCAACAGCGTAAGCTTGGGGTCTTCAGCCATAGTAAAGGTTCCGGAGCAGGTCGGAGCAGCCAAATCCGCTGGGAACCGGGTTCCGGGGAAGGTTCCGGGGAGGAGTTTCCTTTTACGGGAGAATCCCTCGGGGCAGCCAGATCGGCACGACGCAAGGTTGGGAACCGGGTTCCCAGCAAGAGGTTCCCAAGCAAGGTTCCCAGGAACAGGTTCCCAAGCAACGGTTCCTAGCAACCAGGAAGAGGTTCCCAGCAAGGTTCCCCCCAAAGGTTCCCCAAGCAAGGTTCCCAAGCAAGGTTACCACCAAGGTTCCCAGGAACCGGTTCCCAGGAACCGGTTCCCAAGCAAGGGTTCCCAGCAAGAGGTTCCCAAGCAAGTTCCCAAGCAAGGGTTCCCAGGCAAGGGTTCCCAGGCAAGGTTCCCAAGCAAGGTTCCCAGGCAAGGTTACCAGGAAGAGGTTCCCAGCAAGGTTCCCAGGCAAGGTTCCCAAGCAAGGTTGCCAGGCAAGGTTCCCAAGCAAGGTTCCCAGGCAAGGTTCCCAAGCAAGGTTCCCAAGCAAGGTTCCCAGGCAAGGTTACCAGGAAGAGGTTCCCAGCAAGGTTCCCAGGCAAGGTTCCCCAAGCAATGTTCCCAAGCAAGGTTACCACCAAGGTTCCCAGGAACCGGTTCCCAGGAACCGGTTCCCAAGCAAGGGTTCCCAGCAAGAGGTTCCCAAGCAAGTTCCCAAGCAAGGGTTCCCAGGCAAGGGTTCCCAGGCAAGGTTCCCAAGCAAGGTTCCCAGGCAAGGTTACCAGGAAGAGGTTCCCAGCAAGGTTCCCAGGCAAGGTTCCCAAGCAAGGTTGCCAGGCAAGGTTCCCAAGCAAGGTTCCCAGGCAAGGTTCCCAAGCAAGGTTCCCAAGCAAGGTTCCCAGGCAAGGTTACCAGGAAGAGGTTCCCAGCAAGGTTCCCAGGCAATGTTCCCAAGCAAGGTTCCCAGGCAAGGTTCCCAAGCAAGGTTCCCAGGAAGAGGTTCCCAGCAAGGTTCCCAAGCAAAGTTCCCAGGCAAGGTTCCCAGGAGGAGGTTCCCAGGAAGAAGTTCCCAGGAAGAGGTTCCCAAGCAAGGTTCTCAGGAAGAGGTTCCCAAGCAAGGGTTCGCAGGAATAGGTTCCCAAGCAAGGTTCCCAGGAAGAGGTTCCCAGCAATGCAAGGTTCCCAAGCAAAGTTACCAGGAGCAGATTCCCAAGCAAGTTCCCAAGCAAGGGTTCCCAGGCGAGGGTTCCCAGGCAAGGGTTCCCAAGCAAGGGTTCCCAAGCAAGGGTTCCCAGGAAGAGGTTCCCAAGCAAGGTTCTCAGGAAGAGGTTCCCAAGCAAGGGTTCGCAGGAATAGGTTCCCAAGCAAGGTTCCCAGGAAGAGGTTCCCAGCAATGCAAGGTTCCCAAGCAAAGTTACCAGGAGCAGATTCCCAAGCAAGGCTTTCCAGGAAGAGGTTGCCAAGAGGAATGTTGCCAGGAAGAGGTTCCCAGGCAAGGTTCCCAAGCGGTTCCAAGCAAGGTTCCCAGGAAACAGGTTCCCAAGCAAGGGTTCCCAGGCAAGGGTTCCCAGCAAGAGGTTCCCAAGCAAGGTTCCCAGGAACAGGTTTTGCAAGCACGGATTTCAGGAACCGTTTTCAAGGTTTCCAGGAACCATTTCCCAAGCAAGATTTCCAGGAACATGCTTTTCCAAGCAAAACAAGGTTCCCAGAATAGGTTTTGTTCAAACAAGTGTTTCCAGGAAGAAGTTTCCACGACGAGGTGTCCAAGCAAGGTTCCCAGCAAGCTGGTTCCCAAGCAATATTTCCAGGAAGAGGTTCCCAAGCAAGGTTCCCAGCCGCAGGTTCCCAGGAACAGGTGCCCACACAAGGTTCCCAAGAACAGGTTCACAAGTAAGGTTCCCAGGAAGAGGTTCCCAAGCAACAGGTTCCCAGGAACAGGTTCCCAAACAAGTTTCCCAATAACAGGTTCACGAGTAAGGTTCCCGGAAAAAGTTCCCAGGCAATGTTTCCAGGAAAAGGTTCCCAAGCAAGGTTCCCAGGAACAGAGTCTGAAGCAAGGTTGCTAGGAAGAGGTTCTCAAGCAAGGTTCCCAGGAAGAGGTTCGCACGCAAGGGTTCCCAGTTGCTCTTGGAAATTTTGCTTGGGAACCAGCTCTTCCTGGGAACGCTTGCTTGGGAACCTGTTCCTGCAAGCCTTGTTCCTGCTTGGAACCTTGCGCCGAAACGGTTCCTGGGACCTTGCTTGGGAACGGTTTTTGGGAACCGTACTTGCAAGCGGTTCCTAAGAGCTTAATTAGCCTTGCTTGGGAACTTCTTCCTGGATACCTGCTTGGGAACCTCTTCCTTGGAACTTGCTTGGGAACTTTTTCCCCAACAGCGTAAGGTTGGGGTCTTCAGCCACCCTAAGAACAAGATTTCCAGTCAAATTTACCAGGAACAGGTTCGCAAGCAAGGTTACCAGGAATGATTTCCAAGTCAGGTTCCCAAGAACAGGTTCCCAAGCAAGGGTTCCAGAAACAGTTGCCAAGCAAGGTTCCCAGGAACAAGTTCCCAAGGTTCCAAGAACAGTGCCTCAAGTTCCCAAGCAAGAGTTCCAAGAACAGGTTTGCTTGCAGGGTAGCAAGGTTACCAAGCAAGGTCCTTGGGAACAGGTTCCCAAGCAAGGTTTCCACGAACAGGTCCCAAGCAAGGTGCCCAAGGACAGGTTTGCAAGCAAGCTTCGCAAGAACAGGTTCTCAAGCAAGGGTTCGAAGAACAGGTTCCCAAGAACTGGTTCAGGTTCCAAGAACAAATTCTCCAGGAAGGTTCCGAGCAATAGGTTGCCAGCACGGTTCCCACGAACACGTTCCCAAGCATGGTTCCAGGTTGCTCATGTTCCCAGGAACAGCTTTCCAAGAACAACTTGCAAAGCGAAATTTCAACCAACATCTGCAAGCAAGGTTGGAAGCAAGAACAGAATCCCAAGCAAGGTTCCGAAGGACAGGTTCCTAAACAAGGTTCCCAAGCAAAGTTGCGAAAACCAGGTTCCCGAGCAAGGTCCCAATGAACAGGTTTGAAGCAAACAGGCAAAGTTTCCAAGAACAGGTTCCCAAGAGAGAGTTCCCAAGAACAGGTTACCAGGCAATGCTCCCAAGAGCGGGTTCCTAAGAATAGGCTCCCAAGAACAGGTTCCCAAGCAAGGTTCCGAAGTGTCAAGCAACGTGTCCAAGAACAGTTGCCCAGGCAAGGTTCCAAGAACATTGAACAACAGAATCAGGAGAACTGCAAAGTTTGAAGACTTGTTCTAATAACGGAATGGAGAGATTGAAGAAGAACTAGTTTTGCTTCAAAACATGATACGGCACTCGCACATGGATAGAAACACTAGACGACAGCGTGGCATGAAAGAAAGCAGGAGGGAAGAGACGAGAAGATCATACACAAGAAAAATGATGATGGTGATGATGATGATGATGATGACGATAGTGATGGCGATGACGATGGCGAGGATGAATGGCGATGGAGATGATGATGAATGATAGCTGACGCGAGTCAAATGTTATATATATATCCACGATTTCATGCCTTTTTTCTCCCCGCAGAGGGTTTGCTCCAGGGCTGGCACCTGAGCGACAGTCAGAATCAAAAGACACGTTGTCTTTACACAGCGAAAAAAATTACACAGAGAAGATTTTACACACAGAAGCCTTTACACAGAGAGGGATTTACACAGAGCAGCTTTTACACAGACGCTTTTGCACACAGACGCTTTTATATACAGAAGCTTTTACACAGAAAAGCCTTGTCACCACAGAAAGCCTTTAAACAGAGCAGCTTTACACACAGACGCTTTTTCACAAAGAAGTTTCTACACACAGGAACTTTAACGCGCAGATGCCCAAGCTTTTACACACAGGAGCTTTTGCACACACATGCCTTACAAAAAGAAGCTTTTAGACACAGAAACTTTTACAGCCTTTTCACAAGAAAGCTTTTACACAGAAGCTTTTGCACAGAGATGCCTTTACACACAGAAGCTTTTACACACAGAAGCTTTTACACAGAGAAGATTTTGCACAGAGAAGCTTTTTCACAGACAAGCGTTTGTGGGAAGGAACTTTGAGCACAAACGGTTTTTACATACAGCAGCTTTCACACAGAGAAGCCTTTGCGCGGACCAGCTTTTACACTTAGGTTTGTCTTCACAGAGCAGCGTTTATGCGGAGCAGCTTTTACACACTGAAGCTTTGACGCAGAGAGGCCTTTACACAGAGAGGGCTTTTACGCACAGAGGTTTTCACACGGAAGCTTTACACAGAGAAGCTTTGACACAGAGAAGCGTCTAAATAGAGCATCTTTTATACACAGAAGCATTTACACGCACAAAAGCTTTACATACACACAGAGCTTTTACACACAGACGCTTTTACGCACAGAAGCCCGCTCACAGAGCCCACAGACCGAAGGTTTGACGCAGAGAGGCCTTTACACAGAGCAGCTTTTACACACAGACGCTTTTACACAGAGATGCACAGAGCAGCTTTTGCACACAAACGCCCCCAGGCTTTTACGCACAGAAGTTTTTACACACACGCTTTACACAGAGAAGCCTCTACACAGAGCATCTTTCAAACACAGAAGCATTTACACACAAAAGCTTTACACACACACACAAAAGCTTTACACACACACGCCTGTACACACAGAGCTTTTACACACAGACGCTTTTACGCATAGAAGCTTGTTCACAGAGCAGGGTTTACACAGAGCAGCTTTTACACAGAGAGAGGCCTTTGCACAGAGCAGCTTATACAATCTTATACACACAGAAACTTTAAACACGCAAATGCCCAAGCTTTTACACAGACAGGTCTTTACACATAGAGGCATTTACACAAAAGTTCTTCACACAGATGCGGCAGATGCTTCTACACATAGAAGCTTTTGAACACAGATGCCTTTCCACACAGAAGCATTTACCCAGAGAGGCTTTGACATATACACGCCTATGCACACAGAAGCTTTTAGACACAGATGGTTTTTCAGAGAATCACAGAAGCTTTGACACAGAGAAGCCTTTACACAGAGAATCTTTTACACACAGAAGCTTTTACACACACAAGCTTTTCCACAGAAGCTTTTACACAGAGAAGCTTTTGAGCACGAGCTTTTACACACAGACGTCTTTACAAACAGAAGGCTTGTACACACAGGGCTTTTACGCACAGAAGCTTTTACACAGAGAAGCCTTTACACACAGACGCTTTCCCACAGAAAAACCGATTCCACAGAGCAGCTTTTACACACTTCAAAAAGTCGCAATTTTACGTTTTTGACGTTTGGCCATCATATCGTGCGAAGGGGTTGCATCCGGCGTTGGAAAATCGCAATTCTTGACGTTGGACAATCATTTTGCGTGAAATGGGTTGCGCCTGACCTTGTAAAATCGCATTTTTACACCAGTTTTATTTCGCGTGAAACAGTTGTGCCTGACGATCCAAAATGGATAAAGTCGCAATTTTACACCAATTCTTGAACGTTTGCATCTGACGTTAAAAAAAGCTCAGTTTTCCCACAGTTATTGCCGTTTAGCTTTCATGCCACGCTTGCATCTGAACTTTCAAAATACACCAGTTTTTGATGGTTGACCCTCATTTCGTGCGAAGGGGCTGCGCCGGGCCCTGCCAAATTTGCATTTTGCCACGTGTTTGGATGTCCGACCTGCGCGATCTCTGTCTCCGCAGACGGTTGCTGCGGGCCCAAGGACAAACAAGACCCGCATTTCACCACACGTTTGGGTATCCGACACGCCGCAGAGGGTAACGTTTCGTAAGCCACCGCCTGGCTGTCGCTGCCGCCAGAGAGAAATAGAAGAACTGGAGAAGTCTGATTTTGCAGGAGTTCACATACAATTTGATCACTGGAAGTTAGCTGAACTCCTGTGTAGCAACTCCTGTGCAACAATTTCTGCGCAAATGACCTTGCAGGCAGGACTCTTGTCGGAGTTCAAGTAGAAGTGGATCACCTGCAAGTCAACTCCTGTGTAAACAACATTTTTCAAGTTTTGTAGGAGTTCCCTAGAAGTTGATCACCTGTAGCTGATGTAGGTGTCGTTGTCTATGTATATTGTAGATGATGACGATGATGTTGTAAGTCTTGTAAGTGATGTAAGGTTAGATAGGTTTGAAGAGGTAGGTGATGTAGGGATGCAGCGATATAGATGATGATGTAGGGCATGTATGCGTTGTAGATGATGCATGTCATGTAGATGAGCTGATGGAAAAGGAGTGGGTAGGTGATGTAGATGGTGTAGGTGAGATAGATGATGATGATGGTGGTGGTGGTGGTGGTGATGATGATGATAATGATGATGCAGGGACGATGGTGCAGAAGATGTAGGTGATGTGGGTGATGTGGGTGATGTAGAGGATGTAGTGATGTAGGTGATGATGATGCCGGTAATGTATGTGTTGTAGATAAAACATGTCATATAGATGAGGTTGATGGACAAATGTGTAGGTGGTGTAGCTAATGTAGGTGAGACAAATGTAGTTGATGATGATGATGATGATGGTGCTGATGGTGTAGATGTAGATGTAAATATAGGGAAGATGGTCTAGAAGATGGTATAGAAGATGTAGGTGATGTAAAGGACAAAAAAGATGTGGATGATGTATGTTAGGTAGATGAAGTGAAGAGTGAGGCGGACAGCAGTTCTTTGGGAAGAGAACCCTTTGCACGAGCTTCGGGTATGTTGGCCACAGTATCGCAAACGCTTTTGGAAAAACATTTTTTTCATACAGTGTTTGTGCCGTGATTGCAGCTTGCACGCCCGACCTCTAGAGTAAAAAGGGCGGGGCAATAAACATACTTCATTCATTGCGTGTTTGGCAACTGTTTTTGTTTCTCGCTGTTGGGGATACTCTTTGGGCTTATTTTTTTTGGGGGGGGCATGGCCAGTTTAGATTACGACAGGGTAGCTATCGGCAAAGTTTTGTCCCTCTCATGGGCAACGTGATGATCAATTGCTATATGGGGTATACGATAGAATTGGACACATATCCAACATTCATTGCTTAAATCATGATTAGATCATGTTAGATCCATACTTTTTTGATGACTAGATCACTATGGGATCAATTCCCTATCTTTGGACAACCCTATCTTTGGCCATCCTCGCTTGACACGTCCCAGCCGGGCCCAGCCAGGCTACCTGGAGGATTTACGCAGCACGGAAGTTTCGCCCAACTGTTCCTGTGAGACCCGACTCGATCGAGAGGAGGTCAACGGAGCCTTTTTCTCGCCATGGGCTGCCATGGGATGTTCACATGGGGAAAAGGGTGATATGTTTAAATGGGATGTATGGGGTTTTGGAAAAATATGGGGCTTTCATCTGGAAAATGGTTATTTAATGGTGTGTAGTGTGTGTATATATATATATGGGGGATACAACGGGGATCAGTGGAGATAATTTCATGGGATATATTTGACCAATTTGATATAATATGCTTGTGTGTCTGAAAATGGGGTGTACATTCAAAATGTCGTTGTTATCGGGAGCATGAAGGAAAACATAAAAAAACAGACTTCAATGTCACAAATGTCCCCTTAGTCTTGTTGGTTTATATTAGGAACCAGTACTGTACTAGCTGATGATGCCATGCTACTTGACAACACGTGTTATTTTGTGGCATGGAACCGCATATGGAGAAAAAACCGGGTAAAGTCAACAAAAACGCAAAACACATGACATAGAGAAACATGCTGGCCGAAACCTCTGGCTAATTGCTCTTGGAACGCTACATAAGAATAGGATAAAATAGGTCAGAGCAAATTCAAGAGACCTCTTGGCAAACTTGAGGCACTGGGATGTAGGGGAGTTACATTTTGGATAATTGGACAAACATTTAGTCTCTTTCATATTATTCATTAATTAGTTTGGTATATCTCCATGAATGAATATCCCCATATACCTAACTATTTGTTTCCCATGAACATTCATTGATTAGTTAGGTATATCATGGTATATCTCCATTTCTCTGCTATCTGCAGTTTTCAGTTCACCTCAAGATAGTTCCAGGACCTTTTTCCGGGAAAATGATGATGCACCACTGGAATGGTAGATCTGACATCAACAGACACACACACACGGAAGAACATGGCACTGTTTTTGATTCCCTAAGTTTGACCCCGGGTTATGTGTATATTGTATAGTATATTACATGTAGATGGTATACTATATTGTATAGTATGCTATACTCTTATGTATTTGTCAAGGTTTCCACCCAACTTCATGGTTTTCCCGGCAAACCAGAGCCTGAAACACACACACACAGCATCCAGGACACCTTTTCGAAGAGGACTTTGTGCTTCACCAGAGCTTCCTGGGTGCAGTGGTGGAGCGTTCCTTGAGTGCCCGGGGCCACCCGTATCATCAGCACGTCTACCCATTCCAAGTCATCTCCGGCTTCGGAAACAGCGAACAGGGCGGGCGAACGCGTGGCGGACAAAGTGATGGTGCGGCCAATTATGAGATGCCGGGAGACTGGCATGATACCATTGCAGGGACTGGAGTTGTGAGGCGAAACTACGGTGAAATATGGTGATGGTGATTTCTGGTTGGCCTTGGCTATGTTATTTTTGGGAATGATAATCCAGTTTGATTGCAAGTTTCAGTTGGATGGTTTGGCTTGGATTTAAATCCGGCACCAAATCAAGCTAAACATGTATTCTTGGGACAGCTTCAACTGTTGAACCCACCACACCAGCGTCAGGTACCAGCCTTCTAGATTCGCAGGGAAGGTGATGGTTCACTGCCATCGACTGGACCATGAAGACCAAGGAATGATGAGCATGGAAGTTGTGAGGGACAATGGTCCCTGCACTTGCGGTTCTTCAGCTGCCACAAGATGGATAGTACCCCTTCCGCTTCTCCTCACTTTGGTGGCTGGTTTCAAGTATCTTTAATTGTCCCGTTCTATTTGGGATGATGATCCCTGATTTTCATATACACACATGAAATATCATTATATCAATCACATCAAATTGTATATAATATATACAATTGTATACATACACATACAGATACATAGACGCAGTACACATACACGCAGTACACATACACACTGTACACATACACACAGTACACATACATACATTGCATTGCATACATACGTACATACATACGGCAGGGGCTGAAACCACCAGTTATTCCTGGTGGAGGCCTGTCGGTAGTCCGGTTCGGCGTGAGCCGATCGACTGTGCTCAGTGCACTGCGCAGTTTCCCTTCTGGGGGCGTCATGGGGTCTGCCTTCGTTGGGTGATTTCATGGCTCCCCACTTTGGCAGTGGCTCAAAACTGGGGCACCAAATGATCAACGAAAAAATCTGCATATTTATTGTTACAAAAATATTTACAAAACATACATTTTTCTTGGGAGGTGCTGAATCTTGAGCCACTTTGGGCAAATTTTGGGGACAATCAATCCATGCCTTGCGTGGAGGCTGGCCTGTTGGTAACCAACTTTGGCCTTCTCTGGGCGCAGCCACCCGACCTGGGCTTTTACCCGGATCAAAGAGGTGCAGATTCCACTTGGCCGTTGCGATTTAACCATCAAAATTGGGGATTGAAGATGAGCCATTTAATATGCAGATGTAATGGGATATTCAGAAAGATGGGATGGGAGATACAAATTACTCCCAACGAATGAAATTGTTTCATAGACGTTCCCGAGGAGTAGCATTTGACAGTATGCTTACATTCTGTATATGCATATCTGGTTGGTGGTTTAGAACATTTTTATTTTCCATATATTGGGAATAATCATCCCAACTGACTAATATTTTTCAGAGGGGTTGAAACCACCAACCAGATATCTACAGATGCTAAGCATATGAAAATGGGTCAAAACGAGTCAAAACTGTATTGCCTCCCATAGCACGCACCATCAGCCAAGGCCAGGGACTACCGCTATGAAAATGGTTTGTAGTAGTCCCCAAGATTCCCTCACAATGTATACATACATATCATATGTACAGTATATATATAGACTTATATACCTGAATAATTATATATACATATATATATATATATGTGCACATACATATAATATATATGATAATATATATATATACACTACATATATAATGTATATTTCTATAGTACCTACCTATTATCACCTCGGATGATCGAATGCACCTCCCAGGAGATTGCCAGCAAGTCGCCCGTGGCGGTGGTCGGAACCAAGGCCCGGGACCGTTTCGACGAGTGGAGCGAAACGGCCAAAACGGGGATGAACGAATGACATAATGAAAGCAAATGAGAAGTATATACTATATAAATGATGATTTAAATAACATATCTCTAATTATATGTATACATTATATAGATATATCATTCTCTATATTTATTACCATATATATATATATATATACATATCAGATATAAATGATCATATATCTATAGTTCATTTTTATATGTGATTTATTTAAGCATATTTAAATACATTATATCTCTATGATCGGGAAACCTTGGTGAATTCTTGAAGAACGGCTGAGTTTTCAACCGGGGCTTTCAACTGGGTCTCAAAGTTTGGCCATGCATACCAATTATAGATATCCTCTGGTAAACTAACATAGCTATGAAAAATGGCCTATAGATAATTTACCGGCTATTTCCATGGTGATTTTCCATAGCTACGGTAGTCTACTAGAGGGTAATTATATAGAATATTATGTATTACTTTTATTACCATAGACGGAATGGAGAGATTCAAGAAAGCGGCGCAGTGGCTCGAAGGCCACCGGTTTAGAAGCATCACAAAACTTGGTGCTGGACTTGTGCTGGACTTGTGCTGTACTTGTTGTTGATCATTGTTGATCCATCGATTTTATAATCATAATTTATCACAACCCATGGGTGTCTTATGTTTCTTTGTCAAATCAATCCGAATGACGATATGGATATGACATGATGTAAAAACCCATGGGCCATGAACCACGTTCCAATCTTAGATCAAATTGGCCGTAATTCGAGCAATGGTTTCGGCTGGCGCCATACATACAGTGCTTCTCCGGAGTGATGGGAGTGCTGTTGCCTTCGGAAATAATTTAATGAGACAATGCGACATCCCACCTTTGGATGAGGGAATTGCATATGCCCAGGTTTGTGCAGGCGATTCTCATACAGTGCTTCTCCGAAGTGATGGGAGTGCTGTTGCCGTCGGAGATAATTCATTGAGACAATGCGTCATCCCACCTTTGGATGAGGGAATTGCATACACTCAGGTTTCTGCCGGTCGGTTTCATACAGTGCTTCTCCGGAGTGATGGGAGTGCTGTGGCCATTGGAGATAATTCATTGAGACAATGCGTCATCCCACCTTTGGATGAGGGAATTGCATATGCCCAGGTTTCTGCAGGCGCATGGCATACAGTGCTTCTCCGGAGTGATGGCAGTGCTTTTGCCGTCGGAAAGAATACCCAAGGACAATGCAACATTCCGTTGCCAGAGCCGGGAATTTGCTACGCGAGAGATCTGACATGTGGCAGAGACTTAGCTTTACAACTAGAGTTAGTGGGCGAGGATGATGCTATCACCTTGGTATGCTCGACTTTGGCGGGGGAAGAACGCTTTCGTTTGAGTGCACAGGGGGTTGATTCGGCCTGGGAGACACACAAAAAGATTGCCCATGAATTGAAGATAAACCTCCCAAATCTCCAGCTCATTTTGCCAGATGGACAGTTGTTGGCCACGATCTGCCGTGCAAATCCAGGGGCCTCAGTTGCCGAGGTAACTCAAAGTACACAGCACCCGCGACCTTGACCTAGTTTCCATACTACAGCTAGCCCATTATAGTGAGCGCAACAGCTGCGCGGAGGATGGGGCATTTGTTGGAAACAAAAGTCTCGAAATCTTATGCTGAGGCTGCTGAGTGAATGTTGTTTTGAAGTGTTTGTAGCCTTTCCCTCCAAAGAAACAACGACAATTAACGGTAATTACTTTGTTGAAACACGGTTAATATCAGGAGCACCAGAGGACGCCTGAAAATGTCGTGATTTGACCCACAGCTGGCTTGAAAATTCTCCCAGGTTTAAGTCCAAAAACAACGGGTGGTGTTTAATGTTAGGAGAAGGATCTACTATGGTTACTGTATCTCAATAAATATCATCATCGTTTTGCTTAATGCTAGTTCTTGATCACACGTCCGCTTCTTGTTTTATGGCTTGGATGTTAGGCAGCTCAGCTAGCCTTTTCTTGACGTCCGCAGGTCAGCTTGAACTATAGCCGCGATCACAGCGTTCAGGACGGGTTGAAGGTAGTGGCTCCCATAAAAACTGCTGGATGCAGGTGGAATAAAGCCATAATGGGTACAGAGGAGAGATGGAGTCACAGAGGAGAGAATACATGGGAAATTCGGGTATGGTCCAGCTTTGGTTCACTGGTACAAATTTGGATGGGTCAGCAACATTCCTGGGGATTCAAGCGAATTGGGGATCTATATCATGCCGTTTTCGCTCTTAAGAGGGAACAAAGAGGGAACAAAAATCTGTGCCATGGGGGCCTAAATTTTGGCAATGTTTAGCCCATATTGTCAGTTTTACGGCATGATTCAGATGACCACCAACACTTGAAAAATACAATTTATAGTTGATTTACCTATTCAAAATGGTGATTTTCCATAGCTATGTTAGTTTACCAGAGGGTACGTGAAATCGGGTTTCATGGTGAGATCATCTGAGATCTGCTCCACCTTGCTATCATCACCCACATTCACCATAGCAAGATTTGGAAAGGAAAATGTGAATGTTCTAAAAACACTGGACGCTCGATATCCACCAGTTCATGGTCTACTTCAGAAGCGAGACAACCAATATCCGATATCCCCCATTTTAGGACTGTGTTGGGTGGGAACTGGTACTTCAATTCTCATCATGTCAATATTGCAATAGCTATGTTAAACTACCAGAGGGTATCTTCAGGAATTCGATCCTCTATTTGCAGGGTACCTGCAGGGTTTGAAGGGACAAACTTGCTAGACAAAGCCTTGCCCTGGAGGTCAGACATTCTGATTTCCCCTTTGGGACATCCCCCAGCGTGCCATGGTCAAAGTTGGATTTTGTACTTATAGTACAAGGAGATGATCACACTTCCACTAAGGGCGTTCCAATGGACGGTATAAGGATTCTGACTAATGGTGGGATAACCATAATCCATATGTCATGGTTTGACATGTTTTGATCATGACACTTTTGTCCTTGAAGTCCGCATTGCTGTCACATGATGTCCTACTTGGATGATAGACCCATTGACAGTCAATGATTGAAGTTGGTCCCTCACATTTTGGGGTTTTAGTGTTGACAACTTAAACAACTTAAGTTAAAATGTTAGCCTAGCTTCCTTCTCAAGATCTTAATCTCATGATTGGGGTGCCAGGAGGGGCTTGAACATATCAAGCAATGGAACTCTGTGCACTTGCTCTCGGAGGATGTTTCTGGGACAAATTTTGGATTGGAGATGGTTATTGGATCAAATTCTACTGTATCCAGTATCCATGTTTGAAGAATTCGGAGGGTGTTCGGGGCCCAGGGATTCTGATGATTTTGCGCCAATGTTGTCCCTAATTGTAAAATATCTAAAGAAACTGAGAAGCGATGGATAGTTCGATTGAATTCGAAGGTGAGCCATTGCAAAATGAAAAGGGAAGCTGTCATATGTTGGCAGTAACTTTTGATGTCTGCAGATGAATTGAAACTGGCACATCTCGCACCAAGTCAGTCCTAGAAGGTGGTGCCCCATAGTTATGGTTTATAACTCGTCTACCTGGGGTTTATGGTAGATATGTCTGTACATAGTTGATGGGGTTTACAAACCAACTTACAACTGGGGGGACACCACCTTGTAGGTCCTGGTGCTGAGTAGGGTTGTCATGCCAATTCCTCTACCTTTGAGTGGTTTCAGAATCGAATGCCGGTCAGTTCTGACCTCAGTTTTGGGGTTTTGGGTGGCGATTCAACCTGGCTTGTTAAGTTTAGCATGTTCTCATACCACGCCTTGTTGAGCTTGATTTATGAGCCACTTCTCCCCGGTACATTTCTACCCGGTACATACCCCTCTTCGCTGGTTGATACCCCAGGTTAAAGAACGCATGAACTGCGAACTTCCCTGCCTAAAACCAAGGTGATGAAGGCTGCCCAGGCTGGTTTTGGGATGGAAACGATCGGAACCCATGGCCGAAACACCTGAAAAAAAAAGCTTTGAGGATCTTTGAGGATCATCCATGGGGAGAATCATGAAATGTCACAAGTGAGAAAGTAAATATCTAAATCCTGGGTTTGAACATAGGTCAAATGTGATTGGCGGGCGGCTGGACATGGCACCAAGATGTCTTGTGTGTGGAGATATCATTGCACACAAGAAACATTCCAGTTTGGCACCTGCAGTGTGTGTTGGGTAGTCTGAATGGGGTCGGCCCCTCGCTATATAATGGTAAAGTTTGTTGCAGGTAGTTTCCTCATGATACTGGGATATTTTCTTTCCAATTGCATTGCAACTGGTCAATAGCCTTCATTTGTTTCCCAATCCAATCAAAATTGGGACAAACAGACCACGCCAGAATCGGGCCTTCGGAGCCGCAGGTAAAGACATCCCCATCCAAGTAGTCTCCAGCCATAGGAATGGGCATCCAGGAGGTTGATAAACACATGGGCATCCTCCACGGGGACCAACCAGGCCATCATGATGAAGAGCAAACCAGAGTTCTCCAAGCTGTGAGTAGGGCCTGGGGTGCCATCCTTGCCACGACCTTTTTTATGACAGATGTTCCTTACGATGTTCCTTACGCATGAACAGCTTCACACATTTTTGTGTCTGAAAATAGGGTGAACCCACAACATGGCAATGCAATTCAATAGGGAAGATGATGATAAACTCTGGGAATACCTGAGTTTTTCCATGTTTTTTCGACAAACAAACCCTCAACAAAAAACACACACACACACAATCATATTGATAGGCCAACCTTGACCTTGTGGCCAAGAGTCCCATTTTGATCACAAGTCGCCAGTGTTTAGTGAAGATGTTGTTGACGATAGCCAAGCACCAGCATCAAAGGTATGTGGCTTGTGACCTCAGACGGCGGTTGGCCGAAAAACAGCCTGGGGTTGTGTGATGTGGTCGGCAGTCGTTCCATGTTTTGGGGGCTACATTAACAATTTATATGTTCAAGGCTCAAACATGGCTGGGATAGGCACAACTGAGATACAATCAACAAAGATATCCAATCATGGTATATATTGGTAGACGAAGCAGACACAGAAACGTCAAGCTCAGTGCCCCAAGTCTTTCAAATTCATTTCTAAGGCAACAAAATCATCTACGACCTCCCAACCTTTTTTTTTCTGGATCATCAATTGCTTTTCCGGTTGCGGTGGTGTGGGTTGTGTTTGACTCCACACATGCAGCAGGTCGGCCCAAGCAGATCGGAATTTCAGCTGCCACAACTTAGCATTTTGATGATATGCTGAGTAGATGGAATCACAACAAGATTTGGTCGTTGTTTATTGCTTCATTGCCCAGAGAAAGCGCATTCGATTCTTAGGATTCTTGATGCGTTCAGATGTGTTCAATGTTCAACCAAAGTTGGAAGATAGATGATGTAACTGACCAAATATGGGTCTATCTGGACATAGTGTACCCCTAAATGCCGCTGGTTTATCTTCATTTTTCCATATATATATATACTAAATTGCCATTTTTGGTTGTCCCCATTTTCAGACCCATCCATATATCCAAGTATCAGTAAGTATCATAGCCATGGACCCCGACCGGTTGAGCGCTGCAAGTTCCGAGAGTCCCGCGGGTCCTGCAGGGTGCTGAGTTGGGGATGATTGGGATGTGATGGGGATGGGCTATGGCTCAAAAAACTTGTAATGTGGTGAAAACAACAATAAACCACCCATTTGGGAGTGGTTTATAGCACCTATGCATGGTGATTTGGGGGATGGTTTATGATTTTACCCACATTGTGTGTGTGTGTTATGATCATTTTTTCCCCAAACAAGCTGGATATGGCTATGGATCAATACCTATTAATACAATTTTTAGTGGGATGAACATCCATTTACCAGCTATTTTGGGGTTCACTAGGTACCAGGGTTTTGACCCATCCCCATATGGATACTAAAGAATGACCCATTGTTTGCGGGTTGAACTTTACCCCAATGACTTGATCCGATCACCGGGTGGAACGACTTGATCCAGAGAAGCCTGTCCCATGATTAAAATGGAGAGATTTGATTAGCAAGAATGTGTCTGTATATATGACCTAATGGTATAATATATATAATATATATATATATATAATATCAGATACACACAGGATATGGCTACATTACACATGTATATATATACATATGATTGCATATATTGATTATATATATATATATCTATATACACACATACATGTATGCTTATATCTATGTAATTACATGTGTACAAACCATTATGCAATATATATATATATATAGCATATATACCTGCGGTTCAGGAAGGACAGTACATGTGTTCTGGGATACTGGTGCTAGCGGAAGATTGAGATCACAAGAATGCACTGCCATTGTCAACAATGTAGTAAACCCAATATTAACCACTCCCAATAAATATCACCATAAACGGATGGTATAAACCATTGCCAAAATGTAGGTTAATTGTTGGATTTCCCACATTAGAAAACAATTTCATTCTGGTGTTTGAGGCCAGACCACTCCATGGGAGCTCTAACTGATCATGACTAAGCTTCAAACTTGCTGACAAGATGCCCGACCAACTGTGACTTTCGGCTACAAGAAAGAAGTGATTCATGAGTTGTTCCTGGTTGTTGCAGCAGAAGTTTTGGACCATGGAGCCAAGATGATCAACCCAGCTGCATCCATGCTGCAAAGTTAGCAACCTTGCCTTAGACATGTTATGACAAGGCAAGGCAAGACAAGCCACACAAAGAAAACCATATCATATGTCATATATGATATTCAGATGTCACATGTCATATATCATGTATGTATATATATATTATATGTTGCAGAATGTTTCAGACCAAGATCTCATATAAACAATTCTTCATTACTCCTAGACCTAAGTCTGTGTTTTGACTGATGTACTTTTTTGAGTACTACTTGTTAATTTCGACATTTGTGGTACACTACATTGTCAATCTAATTGACACCAATTTGTGCTGTCCATTTCTGCAAAAACAACTTATAGCCGCATCAATTCTGACCATAGCTCTATGATTTTGGGCCGATTTTCAGCCGCAATTTTCGCGCCGGGGTCGTTTCCATGACCCCCCGGCAGCAGATGCTGCGGATGATATCCCATGGATCCGACCTGGGAGAGGCTGAGCCACCGCTGATCCGATAAGGTACTCCCATCCCAAGATTTTTCAGACAGGGAAACCATGGTGGATGTAGGGGATGAAACCACATATCTGGGACCATAGAATGGGGCTGTTTACTTATGATGATCAAAGAAGCAAAAATGGGAGATAACCTCCTGTATTCGAACAATGGCTTGCTTGGAGATCCCGATTTTGTACCAGAAAATCATCTAATTATGACTTGATTTAAAGTTGATTTAAATGAAAGGAAAGCTCCTAATTTCCAATGTGGGAATGGGAAGCATCTTTAATTGAATATGTTTCTTGGGTACCCGGCAAGCAAGGTTAGAGTATCGGAATGCAATAAGATTTGAAACCCGGAGAGGGCACGGACTGCTGAAGTGTCACTTTTGGTAGTGCAACTATCTATATATAATCTTTGTCAAATTGTGGTTGCCCCATTTTCACCACTAGCGTCAATGTCTGTCCATACTTTCGTTACATTGTTAATTTGTGAAGTGGTTCAAGGTCATGTGGGGATCCTGTATGTCACTGAACATCCTCAAGATACCTCGTAATTGTATTGCATCCTGTTAAAAGATCATACATAATTTTCTCTAGTTGAGATTGGGGATTTTTTGGCCATATTACTTTGCTGCATTTTGATAGATAGTCTTACTTGTATCCAACGATGATGCCTCTGTTTTTGAGGGGTATCTAAGATTAGCCATGGGATGTCATTTTCAATCATGTGGGAACCTGTTGGTCAACAGTGGATTGTGGATTACTGTTGGTCAACAAAAAGTCCACGTCCACAAAAACATCCATGGTCAATACCCTCTAGTAATCAACCGCATCGATCGTTGGAACATGCACCATTCCAGATTTTGTTTGCCATTGAGATCCTTCAAAGTTTTCATGTAGAGTGGATTTTCCCATGATTTTCCCATGTTTTTCTTCCATTGCAATGCCCCATGGGTGGATTTCCCGGCCATGGAGCTGCTCCGCTCCGCAGGGGCAGGGAACTTTCCTGAGCTCTGCCTGGGGGATCCAGTGAATACTGGAGATATTACTGGACAAAATGGGGATTTAATAGGGACTTAATGGGAGTTATATATACATATATGGATTATATGGATTATATACATATATAATGGGGATTATATACATTAATATAATATTAGGACAATATGGATTATATAATATTATATATACCCGGCCTGGTTATGACTAACATAGCCATGGTATTGGTATAGATGGCCTATAGAAATAGATGGTTTACCTAGCTATAAAATGGTGGATATTTCCATGGCTATGTTAGTCATAACCAGAGGGTATATATAATACACCAACAAGATGAAACACCCAGAAGCGATGGTTTTGAAGAAACCATATGCTCTTTGATATGATCGGGGGGGTCGGGATTATGAGGCAACCCATAGCTAACGGGATACAGTTCTAAAGCAACCAGTATTTCATTGGGCTGGATAGGGGTACTTTGCATGTCTCATTTGCCTTGAAATCTCTATATATATATAAAGCATCGAGAAATGGATATCAATGAATTGGAAATTGTTAATGTGTGTCTATAATGTGGCCATTTCAAGGTGCCACGCCATCCAACGTTGTCCAAAGTCATCTGCTTGACGATCAGTATATCGGTTGAAGCTGGTCCCCATGTTCATGCGTGTTCTACTCATCAGGCTACTTCGGAATGATTGATGACATATTATTTGGTATACTATTATAATAGTACTATGGTATCATGGTTATATATATGTTAATAATACTCAGTATCCGATTATCCCAATGCTATAGTTCTTCTTCTCATTTACGACCATACCTCATCACCCCATTGCATTTTGTTTGCCAGAATCGGAGAGAATATGCGGGGTGTCCAGGGTATGACAGATTATTAGTGGCTCAATGTATTGATTTCATGGCGGTGCTCAATGTGAATAATTAATATCTAACATAATTAGTCGATATAGTTTTTTTTTTTTAATCATGAATGTTTGAATACCATTATATTATTTGTTGATATTTCTTGTAGGTTTTTCCTCATGTAAAAACCTGTGTCAAAGTCACCACTCCAATGTAGTATTTAGTATGTTCGTGAATTTCATTTCAGAACAATTTTGGTTTATATCACAGTTTTGTTGGTTGAAGTATATTAATTGTTTGGTCATTACGACATATTTTTGTTGGCTAACTCCCCAAAACCCGAACCAGGTTGATCCAAGAATTTCTGGACTTGCAAATTATTGACAATGTTCAGCCATTTACTGTAAGTATAATGTGTATATATACTGTGTATATTGAAAAAAAACATGGTTTCAACATGATAGAACCACATTAGCCAAGCATTTTGCTTGTTTCGCAAGTGGTTACTGGTCCAGTCATCCCTTCACCGTGGTGAAACCCTCCATCCCCAAGCAATTTTTCAATCCCCAAGTCGGAGCTAACCTGAGATCAAGCAAAGATTGACCATGATATATACATAATATATATATATAGAGGGATTATATAATGGTTTACAATAGGTGTGTGTATATATATATATAATTATATATATATGACCTAGGTCAACATCATGATTATAAGTGGGATAGTAGGGTTCTAACCATATCTTATACTGTGTTTTATCACCAGCATTGCGATTGACGGCGACGCTCCGAGGTCATTAACCTGAGCGCCGCCTCCATGGGCTGCAGCATTTTGGCCTTGCCCCGGGTCTTCGCCGTCTGCGGCATGTGCCTCCATGGGCGCGAATGCGGCGGGTGACAGCGTGGTGCTAAAGAAAAAGACAAGGCCCAAAAAGCACAGAAAGGAACCTATAATAATGAAGACTTTTGCTGTTCGACTTTTTTTTGGTGGGGGGTTGCTAGTTTGTGGGGTTAGATCCGGGAAGATAGACCAACTAAAACAAGTGTGATATGCTGCTTGATTTGCAACTCCCGTTGATGATCTATACAGGTTGAGATTAGGGCTGGACGGCCAGGAATCTTGTTGGGAAGTCATCTCCTGGAGTCAATACACACAGCTATCCGATGAACATCCACAGGGGATGATTCTTGTTGTTCATGTGGGCAACCCCCCCAAAAAACCTCCAGTTTTGGAGGGCCTGGTTTATACTATAGTGAATTTGGGATGATTTGTGGCATTTGGTTTACCATGTTATTTCTCTTGTTGGTCTATGTTGGTTTTCTTCTTCTTAGAATTATGACATCATCATCATCATCATCATCATCGTTGTTATTGATTATCATATTTATTTTTGTATCTTAGTGTATCGGATGATTATTGTAAGACTGAAGAAGATCCATATGAATAATAGCCTTACAAGCGTATCACCTCCTCATAGAATGTAAATCCTGCCCTCGCAGACAGGACCCAGTCATTGGAGGCTTTTAACATGGTTGGAGGATGGGATTGGCCTGTGGTCTTTTCAACATAGCTATGGAACATGAGCCATTTATATATATATATATAGATGATTTATAGATGATTTATAGATGATTTATAGATGATTTATAGATGATTTATAGATGATTTACCATGATTTTACATTGCCACGTTTATTTACCCGAGGGTATTTATTTAATCTTTTTCTGATCTCCCCCCTGTCCAGGTAGATCAATTGTATATTTTGTTGCTTTGCCCTCCAAGAAATTCTACATGGCTGCGAAAAATCGCCCACATATCGATTTGCCAGTCGATTTACCTGTGAAGCATGGTGATTTTCCATAGCAAACTGTAAACAAATAGCCGAAGGCAATGGGAAAATTGTTGTTGAAAAATCGATTGAGGCGCTGGAGTTTGGTCTTCTTGGTGACCTTTTCTTTGTGCCTTGGGACGATAGCTGGTGGTTGATGGTGTCATTTTTTGGATGGATCCCTAGCTACGAAACACAATATGGAAGACGGGGATTGAGCTGATTGAACTCATCGGATTTTCACTTTCAGAAAGAGAGAGACGTTAACCCGTTAACCATCAATCAAAAGAATCAAAAGATGGTGATTTTAGGAATGACAATGTGGGATTCAGTGACATGAGGAGTTGTGCAATCATTTAGCATGTCTTCCGAAGCTGCTTCCGAGCTGCAGCGACTCCCAGGTGGGTAGAACTCTCTTTGCGTTGGCTGGTAGCATGCGGACGCTTCAGCGGTGGTTGCGGTTTCAAGGATTGGGCGGTTTTCCGCAGATGATGTTTCGGGAAGCCGAAAAGACGGTGGCTGTTCTACATAACTTGATAGTTACATTTTGTTGATAATTATATAAGTTTGCTGGGTAATCCTACATTTGGCAAGAGGATAGATAAAAAAGTGGCATTTCCTTTGCTTGATAAGGGAGGCAAACAGATGGTTGACAAATGCCAAAGGAAGCGCTCTCACCACATCCACCATCAGCGGGATTCTTGGCGTGTACAAGGTGATACCCCCCGGTTGTAAGTTGGTTTCTAAGTCCATTCACACATATTATGTACAGTTATATATAATACATATATATATATGATATATATATATATATACATATATATATATATGTATATTTGTATGATATAATCTACTATAGTTAGTATAACATACTTTAATATATATATATATATATATACACTTACATCCCGCATAAACCCAACCGTTCACCGCTCCGTTCTCTGCGTCAACTTCGCTGCCATTAATCGGGGCCTCACCAACTGTACGAACGCATCGCCCAGCGGAGGAGAATGCACAGTACTTCTTGGGCCGAAGGGCTGCGAAGTTGGTGCATTTTTGCCAGGTGAAGATGGGAGGGTTGTTGTTGGTTCGGCTACAGGGTACGGCTGCCGGTTCTAGCGGGAATACCGGGATTTAAGTATTAAATGAGGATTTGGTGGAATCATTATTAACGGGGATTTTTATGGGAGAACCAACTTGACGGGATATATCTGGGTCTGTGTGAAAGTGTGACCTGTATTGCACTCCCCTATTTTTTTTTGTCCTGGGTCACATTTGTGGGTAGAGCCCTATTTCCAGGCAAACCCAAAGAGATATCATGGGTAGCTAATCGTGTATATATACATTATATATAATATTATATATATACCCTGTAGAATATATATATATATACTGCAGAATATATATCTATATATAATAGTATATAATAATATAATCTATATATATATATAATTATATATAATATATATATATATAATTTAGGACTCTCCTTGTCCTCTTTATTTGAGGCTATGGTCAGGAGGGGTACCCCCAGCTGGTAATTATATAGTTAGTTCGCTTGTTGTTGGTTTCAACTCTTATTCATGTCCATCCCTGTTGAGGATCATGATCCTGGGGATGATCCCATCATATCCCTTGCTGGATCTGGGTTCCAATGGGCGACCGGGCTGACCATCTAAAAACCTTCAGTAACATGGTGAAGGGTAGCCATGTTAATCATGGTTAATAATGGTTAATAATGGGAAGGCATTTGGTTCAAAACTGCCCCGCGCATTTGAACGTTCACTGTTCGCTCATTTGTCTTGGTGCTCGCCATTTGCCTTAGTGGGTTTTCTTTGAATAGTTACCCACGGGCTCTGCTTTGCATCTGCCTTGGAGTCCCGGCTCCGCAATCCCGGGTGCGCTCGCTGCCATTTAATTGGCCGATCGCAAGACATTGAGCTAGTCGATTTGTTCTGCCTGGTACATAGCATTTTTTGATTTGCTTCCTCCAGTTCAATTTGGCTTCTCTGTGCTTCTGCAGGTGAGCATATCACCTGGTCCTTTTTAAACTGGGGTTAATCTATAGGGCTGGCAGTGGTGGATATTGATTGGAAGTGAATGTGTTCCTTCCTTCTTTTATTCCTCATCATTGTCGTTGTCTTCACGCTCTTGCAAGATTATTCTCAGGCCAATTTCAAATACCTGGCGGAGGCGGGAAAGGCGCCGTCGGGCTACAGCTCGCAGAAATTGGTTTCTGCACAAATCAGGGAAGATCAGTCTGACCTCGAGATCATTGATTCAGGTTCGGAAGGTTTTCTCGAAACATCATTCCAAGGACTCTGCCTTTATCAACAGAATATCGTCGGAGATCCAAGTCAAGATGGCTTCAGAGGAGGCATACCCTTGGGTGTGCCCATGTGGACGCCTGAACAAAAAGACAGCGAATCTTTGTGCATTGTGCTGGGGGCATTGGACGAAAGGTTTCAAACACGATGTCACTCCGAAGAAGAGCACATATGCTGGGGACTCGCAATGGACAAATTCGTGGGAAAAGTGGGAAGAGTGGCCGGAAGGCTGGAATACATCATCAGACTGGGAAGATTGGGACGAGTCCGCAAGTGCTGGCCGAGCTGGTTCACAATCGCCCAGAGCGAGGCAGCATCAGCAAGATGCTCAGTCGCCAAGAGGTCGAATGACCAAAGGGAAAGGCAAAGGGAAGTGGAAAGGAAAGGGGAAAGCAAAAGGAGAGCAAATGGCGAATCCGTTTGCCTCTGGAAAAGGAGCCTCGTCTTCCTTGCCACAATGGCCAGCTTGGGAGACTCCGGAAGTTGCAGTCTCTCCATTCCAGTCAGCTCAATCGAGCAAAAATTCCACTATGCAGGAGATGGCGTCTCATTTGCGCTTGGCCTACAAAGAAAGGGACACACCCACAGAGGTTCAGGCCTTTCTGGACAAAGCCGACAAAGAGTACAGCAGAAACAACATCAAGTCGCTCCATGCAGCCACCAAGAGCCTAGATCATGCTCAGAAGGCACTGAGGGATGCAGTCAACGCCAAAAAGGATCACAGATTGCAATGGACAAAGCATGTCAGCGAAGGGATCAAGATATGGGAGGCACAGCTGGAAAGCTATCGTGTTCACCAGTCGACCCTGGCGGAGCATGCTGCACGTGCACGAGCAGAAATAGAGGCATCTCGGAAGGTTCTCAAAGAAGTGAGCGACAACACCGTGAAAGAGGGCAATCTATCGATTCCGCAGCCGATTCAGGAAGAGGCAGAAGATGTGGCCAACGAAAACAGCGTCGACCCCGAGGAGCAGAAGCTGAGAGACCAGCTCCAGGGAGTCTTGAACGCTTGTGCCGGGTCGCTTGGTCTCCAATCGGCTCCACAGGAAATTCAGATAGAGGCCTCAGAGGACGAGAAAGATCAAGCTCCCCACAGCAAAAGGCCGAGATCGGTAGAACCCATGAAGCCTGCCGCGGTCACTCAGAAGCAGTGACAAATGGCCGTGAGTTACCAGTTCAACAGAATGGAACTCATGAGGCCTGGCCGTATATGTTTCCAAATGGGCATTCAGTAACGAGTGAATGGAACTATGCCAGTCCCATTTCGTCTGTTTGGTCAGCTTGGAAGCTACGAGGGGAAATTTTTCAAGATCATTTCGAGAGTGGAATTTTCGAAGACGGCAGTGTCTGTGTTGCTCATCACTTTTCCGGTTCGCCAATCGTGTCCATCCTTTCTGGTTCTCAAGGACCACATTACAAACGCCGAAAGGGATTTAGGGTTTGTTTTGATGATCGTATTGAACTTGCTTTAGGTTTGGATGAGGATTGTGAAATGCATCATGTATTCATTGAGCACACCGTTCTGCATGAATGGAGCGAAAAGCCTTGGAAGTACACACCGAAACCGCCCAGTAGGAAGTTTTCTTGGCGCAGACTCACAAATTTTGTTTACCCTTTTTGTGATTTCTCAGTGCATTGCGAAGACGATGCCGAGTTAGCCAATAGTGGTTTCCCGTCTATTGAGTCTTGCAGCCTTGACCGTGGACTCCTGCCGGATGTTCAGATTGATGCACAATACCATCATGAAGCTCTGTGGGTCCAAGAACTCCTCAGCATTGTGGATTCCTTGTCTTCCAGCACGGACAGCGTTTCCAGTAATGGTAGATTTCTAGTGCGAACGTGGTTTGTTCGACACGGAAACAATACAGTATGCTCTCAGCCGCGTGAAGTTTGGCTGAGTACTGAATCTATTACATGGCATGAGCAGGTGATTGAGAAATGGAGTCGAGAATTATCAGATGTGGTTTGTCCTCAGTTCCATGTCGTATCACTGCAGCCGCAGAACAAACCTGGGGTAGTCAGTGTAGCTGACTTGATCGTGACAGATGCGTCTCATGTCCCGGCTGCAATCATTGAGGTCTGTATTGAAACAGATGTTGAAATCCACTCTTTTTCATTTGCCATGCTCACAAAAAATGCCTCTGTGAAAAGACTTCTTCAACAATTTTGGGATACTAGCGCTTTGCACCGTTTTGGAACTATTGAGTCCATAGTGTTTAAGGCTAGCAATGACAAGATTGATCTTGGTCACAAGGCACGCATCAGTTTTGATGTCAAGAAGCATGCCTCAGCGAAACTTAGGCCAAATTCGTTCAGGCGTGGTAATGTCCTTCGAGATATCACAAATTGCCAAAAGGTTGAAGAAGCAAAAGGCTCAAGCACTGTTGGAGGTGATCCGCTGTCAATTATGGCCGTGTTGAGCTCTCCTGTCAGTGACAGTCATAATGCTTTGCATTTCAGCCTTAATGTTGACTTGCTTGAGTGTACAAGCAATCGTGAGAGTGCAGATGATGACTTCCTCGTAGATGACATGTCAATCATGCAAATTCATGGGTGCACAAAGATTCAATGTAAAAATGCACCCCCTGACCTTCAGCATGGTGATTTGACTCAAGTGTTTCATGGACAGCAATTTCCGGATGATGCAGCCTCTGAATCTGATGTGCAAGATGCGCTTTCTTCTGAAGGTCATTCGCCCGGTGATAGCTCGGTTCCTGCTTCAGAGCGTCCTCCGTCTTCTGAAGATGGCAGACAAGACGTCATTCTGTTTCATCTAGATGATCACCCAATCAGAACGCTCGTGAATTGGAACAGTTATGAGGAAATGATCACAGAGATTGCGCATCATTACGGTCTGAGGCGTGATGAGGTTCAAGAGGCTTATGAGATTGCTGTGTCGCCTCCTGACATTGGTATCGAGGTTGTTCCTACCATTGTGCATGTTGTTGGTGATATACCACATGAAAGCACTGATCGACTAGTATTGGTCGACATTGAATATCATGCCCATCGCATTGAAGGGAATTTCCGTAGTGGTCCAAACGTGTTCAGGTCGGTCAAATCCCTGCCTTTGACGACATCGAGAGAAGAAGTGTTGTATCGAGCAGATGTTGACAGGTATTGTCGATCCGAGGATGGTCGCTGCATTGTGTTTATCAACTCAAGGCGTTGGCCGGACTATGACCTTGACAAAAAGGCAATTGCCCATGGGGACTACATCCGAATTGCAGTACCCCCATCGGAAAGATTTGCCTGTCCTACGGTTGTCATCTCGGATATGGTTCAACAACGTTTTTCTGATCAACAAATTCTGGATGAAATCTACAACGATGAAGCAGCATCAGGGTATTCTCCGAGTCTTTTGGATGAGGATCAAACTCGAAGTTTGGCAACAGACCTCATTGTTGGTGGAGATGCGGTCTCAATGATGCAGACTGCACAGGTCTCTGGACCATCAGACTTGACAAGTGAGAGGGAAATTTCATCAGTCAGCTCGAGCCAGTCAAGTTTGGAACAAGATTGGTTTGTTGATCTGCAAAGAGTTGTCGAAGTACATTTTCAAAAATGTGATGCTGTTCAACAAGAGGATTTCATGTTCTCAATCTACACGTGGTTTGTTGATCAAGAGACAGCAACTATCTGTAGAGAACCGAAGATAGCCATTTTGGGCGACGATCCCAATGAATGGAAACAAGACATCCTATTGCCTTGGGAATATCACCTTGTCCCTGGCAATTCCGTGCTTATTGATTTGGTGCAACCCTTTGCAAGACGAGCTGCTGTCGAAGAACACATTGCTCATGTCATTATCACACAAAGACCGGTCGGTTTGCACTCCATCTTGTTTTCCATGGAATTTGTGGACGTCTCTCAGCCAAGCGTGGTTGTCAATTTTGCAATAGCAGTTCCAAGACAATGTACTGCTCGAACCTTTGCTGACACCATACCACTGTTCGATTCATTTTTCCTCAATAAGAGAAAGTGGGTTTACCCCTCAGTTGACTCACAGGAACAAGAAATCGCAACAAGATTTGGTCTTGGCATTTATGTTCAGATATTTCCAGAATCGGATCAACATCAAACCGAACTTTCTGATGACCAGTCCACCCTTTTGCAAGTGATTGATGTTCAACATGCTTCATCTTCTTCTAGAGATAAAGGTGTTTCTCTACAAGATATGCCGCAAACAGATGCAGAAAGTTGTTACGATTTTCATCACTGTCGGGCAATTGCCACACCGTCAGAGGTTCTTGATGAGGTTGATGTAAATGATCGGATCGTCAGAGGTTCCACTGACACCATGAGTCGTAAAGACACATCCGTCAGACAGCTTCGGATACAGGATGTGCAGCCGGATACATCTACTTTCAGTCTCACAGATGAATTTATTCGGCATGTGCAAGCTGTCGCATCCGCAGAAACAGGAGGTGATAATCTGATTGAAGTCCCTCCAGGGTTGTCGTCTCAGCCTGTGTGGGTTCAGGATCTCTGGGAGAAGTGGGCTGAAACTCTGACAGAAACAGGGCGGAGCCCTCAAGAAGGACTGAGAATTGAAACTTGGTTTAGCAACCCCCGAAGATGGTCGAGGTGTCGAGAACCCCGCATTGTTGTGTTATCGCCCAATTTTCACCAATGGGAGAGGGAGCTGTTGTCAGCTTGGCCTGACAAAGCTGAATTTGCCTTGCCTACTCAATTTGCAATTGTTTTTCCCACCCCAGAGGATGCCGACAACACGGTTCAGGAACAGCTAATCATTGAGCAGCAGTCTGAACCGTTTTCTAGGTCCTGTGTTGTGACATTATATGACAATCAGGTTGACGAAGGCAGACCTCATTCGCTTGCACTCGTGGTTTCCGACAGGCTTGACGTTCGATCTCTCATTACCATGATGCAGTATGTTGAGATCTGTCCACCTGAAAGAGACGACATCGAGTGTTTGATGTGGATGGGTAACATTGCAATCCATCCAGACCAAACTGTTAATGTCAGGCTTGGAAATGCGTTCAAACTCCAAATCAGAAGAGGCATTAGGGTCACGTTACAAGAACTTCTCTCAATGTCTGACGGCAGGTTGCGAGCCGAACTTCAGTCAGCCATCAGTGGAGTCATTTATCGTAGGCCTAATATGCTAGGGTTTCCAGCTGATCCCAACAGTAACAACAATCCTGCACCAGTGTCTGAAGCAGAGACCGTTAGTCAGGAGTACCCGCCAGAATGGCTGAATTCTTTGCAGGAACGGTTTGAACGATTTGCTGCAACAGAAAATGCTGCGGAAGGTCCCATCATGTATGTTGCGGTGTGGTTTGTCAACTCAGGATCTTATTTGCGCAATCAGGCACCGCAGGTTGTCAGGCTTGACGCGGAAAGCTCGTGGTGGCGAAGTGAAATCATCTTTCCTTGGAGGGAACAGCTTGAAAGGAGTGCCCAAATTGCACTATATTGTGTAGATCCTGAGCCTCCACGAGAAGCATGGCACTCACATTCAGCACATGTCATTGTTTCACAAGCACTCCCCCGCGATCACGTGCCGATTCTTGCTACAGTTGTTGCTCATGGTGGCAGAGGTCCACCAATCACACAAGCTGCCCTTGTAGTGCATGAATTTTCAAGTGCAGTTGAGATTTCAGACAGGTTCAGTAGGGACGTCAGTAGTGTTGAAAGATCAGTCGTCAGTCGTGGAAGAAATATTTTCCTGATGCGCACACTGTGAGACTCGGAGCAGGTGATGGACTAGTTGTCCAACTGTCTCCGCCCGTAAGTGATGTCCACCAGGCTGCCAGCAGTTCACAAGTTCGACAGACAGACTCCCTAGATGAAGTCGACCCACAGGTCGATAGTGGCAATGCTGAGCAAGATGGCAACAATCCTGAAGTTGACTTTGAAGATGCAATGCTTATGCAAGGCTTCATGTCGGTAGCTTTTCATGCTAACAGACACCAAGAAGCGAATCCTCAGTATCAACCCACTCAATGTGCAATTGGTGTGCCTGGTGAAACCCATGTAGAAGCACAGGCCTTTCAGTTTGATCCTGCAGCAGCGGAATTCCAACCAAATGCATATGTCCTGCCGGCATGGGCTCAGGTCATTGAGGATATCTATCATGACTGGGATGTGCATGCCTTTTCATGGCAGGGGGAGTCGCGTGTCACACATTTCATGTCTTGGTTTGTGGCACCAGGGATCCAACGGGTCCAATGTCTTTATGGTCGGAAAATCGCCCTCTTTGCGGACTTCTGGAATTGGAGAGAACAGTTCAAACGAGTTTGGATTGATGAGATTGACCCTTTGGCCGAAATTGAGATTGTTTATGTATCTCCACCGCCCACTCAGATTGAAGCTGGTGTTGTTGGTCATGTCATTGTAGTCCAACACAACTCAGTCGAATGGTCATCCTTGCTGGTCTCAGTGTTCGATCCTGCAATAAATGGAGGACACCCATTTAATATGGCACATTCATTTTCAGAGCAGCTGCAATTTGCAGAGATTACTGCACGAATCGGGTATGGTGGAGAGTGTCTCAATTATGCGCAATGTCAGTTTCGAATTAGAGGACAAGTTTTTCAAGCTGATGAGCGTATTCGGGTGAGTGATGGGGATGCCATTGATCTTCTGGTGAACAGAATCATTGTGCCTCAAAACTGGTATCCCCCATTCTTGCCACATATGCCTGGAGCTGAGGGCTTGGCCCTGTTACAGCTTGAAGCAAGGGTCAAGCGTCGGTCCTATGAAGCACATGACGAAGAATTGAAAGGAGGTCTAAGCGTCAAAACAGGACGAGCAATTTCTATTGCGGATGCAATTGGCTGCACTGATGATGATGTTGAAGGTGCACAGTTTACGCTGAGTAGCCTTTTCAGTCGTGCAGGACATCTTGCGTCGCAGATTGTGGTTTGTGCTTGGGAGGTTAATCAGGGCAAGATTGAGATTGAACTGCACAGTGTCTCAGGATTTGACATGCACCAAGTTTGAGACGGTTTTCAGCAAAAGCATACCCTGATCAAGCCTTGTTCTGACTTGTTTCAGGTCAAGTTCATACGTCCATGTTGGGCCTTTAAAGAGCATCAGTGGTTCGTAGGGTCCTTTGTGGAGCAGTCCTCTGACAAGGCAATTGTTGCGTGTGTTGCATACAGTCAGGGAACTGCTACTACACATGTGACCAGTTTTTCCAGGTACTGTAGGACTGATTACTTCAGGTCAGTACTCAACATCAAATTTGGTACGTTTGTGAGAGTCAACGGAAAAATTGTGTGTCACGAAGTTTGCCTCAGCAATGGCGATGTGGTTGAATATCATGTAGGAACACCCAATGGAGTAATGCTTGATAGACATTGCCCGAAAGTCCAAATTTGTCTTGAAGCTGCCATTGAGAGTATCGTACCATTCTTTGATGAAAATGCAGATGCGGTCGAGGTGCTGGAGTTTCCAGAAATCCAATCCGATTTGCGTTCAGATGATGGATGGGCATTCCACATGATTCCTGAAGGAGTTTCCATACACAAAGAAACATATGAAGCCCTTCATATGCAACAGGACACGTATGGGTGTGAACCCTTGTACTATGAGCTTTACATAGATGGAGCAACAAGTACAACGTGTTCTGCATGGGCTGTTGTGGCAGTGTTGGTTACACAAGGTGGACGCCGACTGCAAGGATGCCTTGCAGGCCTCACCACCTTAGAGACTGCCTCACCACATTGGATCGGTGCAACTGGTCATACAAACATCGATGCGGAACTTTCTGCAATGGCCATAGCTACGGCATTTGCATACTTTGGCTCAGAAGACGCACGCTTCGTCATTCGACCAGATCTGGCTCTCAGCCAAAGGCTCCTGAAGCTGCAAAGTACTACAAGAAAAGATTGTACCCTGGCCAGAGTCGTTCACGTATTGGGTCAATCGATGCCACAAGGGATTGATGTTGAGGAAATTAGAGCACATGAGGGTGATCCATGGAATGAACTTGCTGATGCAGTCGCAAAAAGGGTTGCACAGACTGGACGAGAGGTCGGAACTGTGTCGTGGAAGATCCTTCACCAAATTGCGACCTCCACGTCTACAAGAAAATGGGAATGGTTGAGATATGAGTCGTCATCCTTCAAGCAGACAATGCCGGCCCTACATGGTGGTGCGGTATGGCAGCCCACCGTCTCTGCCAAACGAGTTGGTGTGGCGCAGGAAGAAATTGAAGATGCCGTTGCTCAAGTGAATTTCTCAATGAAAGTGGTAACTTTCAATGGGTTAGCATTGAATGAAGATGAAAAACCAAACAGTGGATCAGGAGTTCGAACAGCAAGGCTGGACGCGCAATTTCATCAAGGACAAATTGCTCTGGTTGGCATTCAAGAGGCCAGGACTTCAGCAGGGCAACGTGTTTCAGATCATTACAAGATATATTCCTCAGGTTTCCAGACTTGCGGTCGCTCCAAACACTTTGGTTGCGAACTCTGGATTCACAAGTTTCTTCCGCTTTGTGTTTTGGCAGATGGGCAAAACGTCAGCCTGAATGACTGTAAAGTTACAGTAACAGTGCAGGAGAGCAGGTTGTTAGTTGCCAACATTGATGGGCCAATTTGCTTCACTGCAGTTGTCGCGCACGCACCGTGTGTTTCTGCAGAGAGGCCTATCGCATTAGTCCAGCAGTGGTGGGACTCACTTGCTGACACGGTGTCCAAATGTCAAAGTGGCAAAATGGTGGTTCTGATTGATGCAAATGCGCCCCTTGCCGACAAAGAGACTCAGTATTTTGGCATGCATCAGGCTGAAAGGATGAACCAACAAGGGCATGCGTTTCAACAATTTCTTAGTGCTGTTGGACTATATGTTCCCTCGACGTTTCACACACATGTTGGCCCCTCTACTACATGGAGGCACCCTAGGGGTGAACAACTGCGACGTGATTATGTTCTGCTTAGCAAGTTCTTCTTTGAGACGTGCGCAAGGTCATATGTGTGGTCCGACTTTGATGGAGGGTTTGGCCATGTGGATCATTGCCCTGCAGCTTGTGTCCTTGAAGGTATTCTGCCAGTCAAGGATGCGCGCAAGAAATTCTATTGGGATTTTCAGAAGATGCAAGACCCTGATGCACAGAAGGCATTTGCCGAATCTCTTAGAACATTGCCGATGCCTTCATGGTCAGTTAACATTGATGAGCATTCAGCCATTGTAGAAGCGAACCTGATTCAAATTGCTTATCAACATTTTGGTAAGAAAAAACAGGAAAAATCCAGGCCAGTCTTGAGTTCAACCACGTTAGAAGGGATTCAATTGAAAAGACAGATGCTTGACATGGCCCGAAGACAAGGATTTGATGATCCGTTGTTGGTTGCAGAGCTGAAACAGATTGAAAAGGTTATCCGTCCAATGGTTCTCAAAGACCAGCAGATATGGTATGCCAGATGGTTAGACGATATCAATGATGCAGGTAATGCTCATGATACAGCACAAGTCTACAAGAAACTGCAGAGGCTTGGTCGTCGCAAGAAGGACCTTGAAAAGGGACCGCGTCCCTTGCCAAAACTGAGGATCTCCGACGATCGACATGCGCAATCCTATGAGGAATGTCAGATGATTTGGAAGAATCAGTTTGCAGTGATTGAGGCTGGTGTTCAAGTGACGGATATGCAACTTCAGCAGCTTCACGCACACGGTAGTCGGGAGGGACTCAAAGAGGCCAACTCATGTCCGGACCCGGCAGAGGTGTTGTCCATTGTTCGTAGGTTCAAAAATGGGAAAGTTCCTGGGCCTGGACAACTACCAGTTGATGTCCTGAAAAGTGGTGGTGTCGAGATCGCGAAGATACTCACCCCCCTGCTAGTCAAGGCGGCATGGCATATGCAAGAGCCGTTGAGCTGGAAGGGCGGTCTTCTGATCCCACTTTTCAAAGGAAAAGGATCACCAGTCGAGCCTTCGGCTTACAGATCTATTTTTCTTTCAGATGTTTGTGCCAAAGTTCATCATGCACACATAAGGAAAAGTCTTGCAGAGATTTGGACAACCAATGATGACTTGATTCAAATGGGTGGCAAGAAAGGATGTTCCACTGATATTGCGCATCATTTGCTTCATGCACATTTGTCTTGGGCTCGTGCAAAGAGTGTTTCATGTGGGCTCTTGTTTGTTGACCTGCGGTCAGCGTTTTATTCCATTCTACGATCGTCGATTTTTGCTGGCGAATGTCACGATGACGCTATCTGTTTTGCCATGCAAAGATTGGGTATTACACCGACGGAATGGCAAGAGATCAGAAACTGTGTAGCAGCAGACAACGCAACTGATGGTCTTGATGCGCATCGGGTTGGCATCTTGAGAGACATGTTTTCAGGCACTCATTTTTCAATGCGTGGTAGTCCAGGAAACGTTGCCACCACACGTGGCACGCGGCCAGGAGATCCAGTTGCCGATATATTGTTCAACATGGCTTTTCGTTTGGTTGTGATTGATGCACGTCGGAGCATACTCCAAACCACTGATATGGAGTGTTTTGGGTCTCCAATGCAGGCTGAGGACGTGACGGCCACTTTACCTGTCCCCAATAAAGGGTTTGCAGAAATTACCTTTGTGGATGATATTGCATATGCCGTTCATGCAGAGTCACCTGAAAAGGTCGTTTCGAATCTGCAGATTGTGGCTTCATGCCTGCATGATGCTGCGGCCTCCAGAGGGCTGTGCATCAATTATCAAGCTGGGAAGACCGAGGCAGTTCTCAAGCTTGCAGGTGCAGGATCCAAAGCAGCCAAGCATCGAGTATGGCATGAATGTGGAGGAATGCTGCCAGTTGTGACAGAGCACGGTGTGCAACAACTGAAGGTTGTTCATTCATATAAGCACCTTGGGTCTTTTGTTCAAGATCATGCAGTAATCCACAAGGATCTGCGCTATCGTAATGCGCAGGCAAGGAAAGCCTATGGACAGTTATCACGACAGTTTTATGGCAAGAAGAATGTTGGGACTCGAACCAAGAGTTCGGTCTTTGCTGCATTGGTGATGTCGCGCCATATGTATAATGTTCACACATGGGCTTGGGTGTCTGGTGATGATATTGAGCAATGGGAAAATGGGATCAAGCCGATGTTTGCTTCCGTTGCAAAAAATCAGATCAGACCTATCCCAGCATTTCAGTTTTCAACAGTTGAATTGTGTGCGGTGATCGGCCTGAATGGGCCTCTAGATCAACTGCATGCTGCGAGACTACGATATGTGTCCAGAGCAATCCGGATTGCCCCGGCAGCCTTATGGAAATTTCTGCACAACAATGATCATGAAAATTCCTGGTTGCCTCAGTTAGTGGTGTCTTTCAAATGGCTGAGAATGCACCTTCGACCTGGGGTTATTCCTGATTTGTCCGATGCAGTCTCGGTTCTTAATTTCATTGCAATTGATCAGCATTGGCTGGGGCATGTTCGGGCAGCCCTTAGGTCATGTCTGCGGTTTCATCAAGCACGGGCGCAGGGCAAACTCTGGAGTCTCAGAATTCAGAACAGAGTTTCTAGGCTTGCTGATGTTTCCATTACTGACAGAGAGGCACTTGTCAAATGTTGGAAATGTAACCTGTGCAATGATTCCTTTCCTTCCAAGAAAGCTCTGGCAGTTCACGCCAGACATAAGCACCAATACCGCACAGTGCTGAAGTACTACGTCTTAGGTGATGAGCGCTTGGCCTGCGGGAAAAAATTCTTCAATCGCACAAGGCTGTTGTCCCATGTTGGTAACTCCCAAGCATGTAAGAACACGTATTTTGCATGCTTTGTTCCGGTCGCGGATGAGGTAGTTCAGCAACTAGAACTCGAAGAAAGGGACCAAGCCAGAGTTTTGAAATCACAGGGATGGCGACCCTCTAAAGCCTTCCTCCCGATGACCAAAGTGCAAGGGCCACTGTTACCCGAGTGTGGAACAGAAGGTGCCAGTGTGATGCGGTCAAAATGGCTGAGTCGAGCACAGGTGATTGGTCGAGCTTACGATGGCTTAGATGGGTTTTGTGAGCAACTTCCTGATGCCGAGAAGGATGGAGTAGAGGTTATACCTTTTCTTCTTCAATCCAATGGTGGCAGAGCTCAAGGTGAAGCTGGAATGTTTCAGCAATACGGACTTGCTGCGGAAGCAGCCAGGTTACATGTGAAAGGCCTAATCTTTGTGCATTTTTTTAGCGGTTTTCGCCGCAAAGAAGATTTGCAATACTGGATTGAGGCGCATGATATCATCGAAGAGCAGCATGTGTTCTGTATATCAGTGGACTTATGTTTGGCCAAGAAGCCCTCTGATTTAACAGACGACCGCAGCAAGGACTTTTGGATTGAGAAGATGAAGAATGGACAAGTTATCGGCGTTGGGGGAGGACCGAGCTGCGAGACGTGGTCAGCAGCACGGCACTCACCAGATGGCCCACCCCCAGTTCGCACTTACGAGTGCCCATGGGGCAAAGTAGGTCTCAGCGTCAAACAGTGGGCTCAGGTCAAGACTGGCACGAAGCTGATTCAGTTTTTGGTGGAGCTCCTGATGCTTGCAGCAGAACTTGGATTATGCGGGTTCCTGGAACACCCTCAATTTCCAGTTTGGCTTATGCGACAGAAGCCTGCATCTATCTGGACCCTTGATGCAATGCGTATCCTTGCGAGACTGGCATGTTTCCAAGTTTGCTCCTTCGATCAATGCATATACGGATTGTGCGCAACAAAGCCAACAACGTTGATGCTGTTGCGGCTCAGCACTTTTCGTGATATTACCCTCACCAGAGGGAATCGTGGACGTTGCTCGCACATCTCTGGCCATCAACCTTTGCGTGGAATTCAATGCAATGGAACCTTTCACACAGCCAAAGCAAAGATTTACCCGGCTGCTATGAACAAGGCCATTGCTACTGCAGTGTCAAGGTTTTTGACCGAACGCCAGTTGAAAAGCAACTGGTCTAGGTTGCCAGAAGACCTGCAGGAATTAAATTGTACAGATCTGACTGATGAGGCAATCATTCAACCTGATTACCATCAGTAGCAAGGCAAGAGACCGAGCGTAGACTTACGCAGTAATGGCAAAGTGACAAAAGGTTAATAATGGGATATATATATATAATTATATATATACACATATAATGGGATATAATGGGATATAATCATAAGGTAAGACCAATTGAATCATAAGTTCCCTCGCGCGAACTGTGACGTTTCCTTGCCAATTAGTTGTTCACCTGAGTACTGTGACTGCTCATATCGCCACTTGTGCTGATGCTTGAATGTTTTCTCTTGCAGTTTACAGCTCTTCTTTTGGGGTTTTCTTAAAATGGTGGTTACACCGCAAAATCATCCAAAATTGCTTCATGAAAACTTTATGTAGACCATTCTAGTATTGATACCCATGGTTTTGTTTGTTAAGCCCCATACGCACGAAGCCGTCACGTAGCATCCTGGCTCTGTCGCTGCCAGGTGCTTTTGCTTTGTGGTGGGATTGTCATGATTTTCGTCACCGCCTCCAGCCTTTTAGGCCCTGTTTGTTGGGGTGGAAATCGGAGGGTTGGGCTGAAATTGGAGGGTTGGAGGGGTGCTGTAATATATCCAAACATTATATATTCAAACACAAATGTAATCAAATGTATACATAAGTTACATAAGTATATATGATGATATAGTATGTCAGTATGTTATACTATATCTATATTTGTTTCACATGGTGGATACGCACACACAGTCCGGGACATGATGTAGGTGCTGAAGAGGTGAACTCGGATGTTCTCCAATCCATGACTGCTCAATCGTCATCATTTGAGGCTTGAGAAACAATATAAAATCCCCATTATTTTTCCTGGTAAACATTCAGTGTTTGTTGGTGAATAGCCCTGGCTGGAAACTGCTAGACTTCTCTTGATTCCTGACCGGGGAGGCTGCAGTGCCCGGGAGCTTCTTGCAAGTCCTTGTACAGAGGAGGATGTTGGGTGGGTGGGTGGGCGGCCAACAAATCATTTTATAACCCCAGTGATGGATGGTATTATTGGTATCATTGATATTTGTCGGTATGGTTGGTTTAGTGTTGGTTTTATGTTTATTGATATTTTACTGTCGGCTGCATTAAGCATTATGAATCATGAATGGAAAGACGCAGACGCAGCTGCAGATGTCGGTTTGGGTCAGAAGGAGGGGGCACAGCCACATGGGAGATACCTCCTGCCCCACCTCTCCTGCAGGGTTATTACAGATTACACAGTTATTCATTAAGCAAGTCATCCAAATCTACCGATCCATGTGACTGTGTCAGTATTTTTTTCTCTGGCTCATGCAGAAAAGTAATGAAACACCACATGGTTTACAACTGTCTGGTGATTTGAAAAAGTTGACATGATAAAAATCATGTTTCCGACCCAGTAAGACCATGTGAAGATCTTTGGAATCACGCAAGACAGCCAAGCAGATAGTTTTGTTGAAGTGCTCGCACTTGTTCGACATATCGGTTGGACTATTCCGTGACAGCCACGCTGCATCTTTAGTTGCTCCTGACGTCATGGTATACCAAATTCAATTATGATGTTACATTTTGAATTATGGTATATTGTTGGGAAACTATTTATGTAGTCAGTTCGCTTCATTTTTTTGTTAGTTGCAACAATCCAACAACAGTCTCAGTCTTCAATCGTCTCACAGGAACCTCACATTTATGGAATTCTATGGGATTTTGTTGGAACACCAACTCTTTACCCACATAGCTCTGTGTTGATGAAGCATACTATCTTTTCCAAGCAATAGATTCCTAGAACGCACATGGCAAACACTTTGGTTGCTTGTGTAAGTAAGTAGATAAGTAAATAATTAAATACACATATATATGTATATATATATGATAAAATATATACACAGAATATTATATATATATACATACACATGTATTTATCTTCGCGCTGAGTAGCCACATCTTGTACTAGCTACGCTTTTAGATTAAAATTATTTACATATGCACTCTATGCACCCACAGCCACACCCACACAAACTCACCCCTCTTAAATCCTGAATCCCCATTTGTTGTTGAAACTCGATCAATCAATATTGACCATTGGTTAACTTCAGTCTTAAAAGTACTTGATATATGCATCTGCAAAAGCACATCTATCTACATGTAGTGCCTAGTGCAGATACATACGTGCATCAATACATACGTTATCATAATTTCAAAATTCATATATATATATGCACATATTATGATTGATACACTTAGATCAACAATAATCTAACATCATATCATTATAAATAGATATATCCATGACAAATAAACAACAACAATGTGGGTAAACCAATGCCATTTGCACCATCCCCCAGTCATCACCAGTTTTAAAGGTGCTATATTTGCCATTCCCAGTGGGAGGTTTATGGTAACTCCCAAAGGACGGCCCACCAGCCCTCTCCGGCACCTTGGCGACGCTCTGCCGCGCGCATCCGGCGCCCTGCGACCTGGCGGTGAGTTGACCAACAAACACGGTCGTACAAGGAAGGTTTAATGGGGATAGAATGATCTGTGTGTATATATATATATATTATATATTATATATATTATATATATATATATATATATATTATGAACAAATATCCTCATATTTGTCCCAAATTGGGTGGTACCTCGAAATACCTATCCTAATTAGAAAAGGATAGCAACACTGGATTAGGGGTACCCTATGTTTGGACCAACCCATTTTGACGCGGGGCAAATTTCAAATTGTCAGGATATCCAATGAAATTGGTCATAAGATCATTCGAGTTTGAAACTTCAGGATAAACATGATATAGTCTATAGAAATGAAGATCAACACCTGCAAAAGTGGTGAAACATCTTGGAGAAACAGTGCTGCTTATCCAACCGTGTTACAGCGAAACATCGAGAACGCAACCGCAACGTTGGGAAGACGGGAAGACCATGGAGAGCTGATTTACTTCATCATCAGCCCAAAAAAATAGCAAGACATGTTCTGTCATGTTTTATCAATTATGAACTAGATTGAACTAGTGTTGTTCTTTTGCATCAGGATGAAACGTGTTTTTGTTAGCCAATACGACTTCTAGATACTTCTAGTAGTTTTGCTGTTCCGTTCATCTCCATTAAAACACTGGCGTTGACCTCGACAGCGAGGCATGTCGCCTCAACGAGTTTTAACTTTGATCGTGCTGGTGGTCCTCCCACTGGCTTGCCAAAAAAGTGCCTTGGAACCAGGGGATCATGTGGAATCTGGTCATGGCCGTGGTTGCTATGATGGACACCTATATATTGTATATACATGTATATGCTACATTGATCTTATATGGTGTATTCAAATGTATTATATGATACACATATACATAGATAACACATATATATATAATTATATATATATATATATATATAGTGCATGATTTTGTCGTAACATACATTTTCTTGTGTACCTGTTGGTCCTCCGGGCCGCCGGGGCCATCATTTTGGGCCAGATCTCTTCGTAAGAGAATGTTGGGGGGTCATCCGCTTTTATTTAAGGTTTATAATATATATATATATACACATACACATATGTTTTATTGGAACAGTGATAATGTTAATAATAACAAGAACAGTCATGATATTGACAATCAATAGTGATAGTAATATATATATATACATACACTATACATAGATTGAAACCCAGCATCTTTGTACATAACACTGAGGTCTGCACTCGCTGACTGGGGTTTCGATGCTCAGCTTTGTGCCTCGGGCGTTGGGGTTGCTACGACTGGAGGTGCAGTTCCACTACGAAATGCTGAACAAGAAACCATAGAGTTATAGCGGTTATATCCATTTATATCCCAACTTATGGGGGTTTTCAACGATAGTTATAGCAGTTATAGTTATAGCCACAAAAATCCGAATGGAACAAAGTGTTGCAATTGAGTTTGAAATGAATGCATGGAACTAGAAAGGGCCTGGCATTGGGCTAGAAAGTCGATGGAAACTCTGATGTATTTGCTATGAGATCTTCAGATAGCTTGAGCTGCTCTGCTATGGAGAGGCCTTATCCATGAAAGTGATGAAAGGCCTTGGTGTAGCTTCCTACAATCGAGAGGGGATTGCGGATATTTCCTACCAAATCATAAGTGTGAGCATAGCAAACAAGTCCAAAGTGGCTGGGTAAATCCGCACTCTTGGGCGTGGTCCAAACACTCCAAATTTGTTTTCGCGCAGATCCCGAGTTTCATATACTGTATTCTGTTCGCTTTAGGTCCAGGGTAGCAAGGTTTCACAGAGATGCAAATCCTCCTCAGACTTGCAAAAGAATTGCACAACCTGGGAAAGACAAACAAATTGCAACAACTTGCTTGTAAAAAAAACTTATTGCTCTCAACATTTCGCCTGAAAATCCTGAAACAACCCTGCACATGGGCTCATTCCCCTGGATTCTTCATTTTGATCCATAGCCATCCATAGCCAACTTCACCACCCAAATCACCCAAATCCAAGCATTTCTAATGTTACCACTGCAACCCAGGTTTGCTTGGCCTACTTCTTTATCGTTTTGTTGCTGCGGCTCGCACACCGAGTCCCTGGGCAGCCTGGGCATGGCCCAGGATCGGTGGATGCAGCCGTCAGAAGACTCGATGCGTTACTGCACCTTTTTTCAGGACAACCATGGTTTATAATGTATAACTATATAATTATATATATATACCCTCTGGTGAACTAACATAGCAATGGAAAATCACCATTTTTCATGGGAAAATCCAATATATATATTATATTTGGTTATTAACTAGAGTTTTATATTCGTATATTATGTATATATACATGTTGCATACATTGTGTGATTACTATATATATATATATATCATAATGGTTATTAACTAGAGTTTTATATTCGTATATTATGTATATATATATACATGTTGCATACATTGTGTGATTACTATATATATATATATATTATAATGGTTATTAACTAGAGTTTTATATTCGTATATTATGTATATATACATGTTGCATACATTGTGTGATTACTATATATATATATATATCATAATGGTTATTAACTAGAGTTTTATATTCGTATATTATGTATATATATACATGTTGCATACATTGTGTGATTACTATATATATATATTATAATGGTTATTAACTAGAGTTTTATATTCGTATATTATGTATATTTACATGTTGCATACATTGTGTGATTACTATATATATATATCATAATGGTTATTAACTAGAGTTTTATATTCGTATATTATGTATATATACATGTTGCATACATTGTGTGATTACTATATATATATATTATAATGGTTATTAACTAGAGTTTTATATTCGTATATTATGTATATATACATGTTGCATACATTGTGTGATTACTATATATATTTATATTATAATGGTTATTAACTAGAGTTTTATATTCGTATATTATGTATATATACATGTTGCATACATTGTGTAATTACTATATATATATATACATAGATTAAAAGCTGAATCGCAGCCTATCCACAAACATACGGAGTAAATTGGGAAGTTTCCCACGACAAGGAGAAACTTGTTGTACCAAGATGAATGAACAAGCAGTGTCCAGAATTTCTCACATAGACATATATATAATATAAATATTATATATATATGTATATCATAATATATATATATATATTTGTACATATCATAATATATTACATATATATATATACATATCACAATAATATATATATATCATAATGTATATATATATATACATATTATGATATACCATATATATATATATATGCTGCACAGGTTCTTGTCATATTGGGTTGCCTTTTATGGTCAGGTAGCCTAATGTAAACTAGATTTTTCCATCCCAAACTATACATCTGTAGGTTTGGAGTCTATATAGAAGGCACATGTTCCACCGGAGTTGGCATTTTTGGACATTCTGTTCAAAATCTGTGTGTATTCATTGTTCCTCCACAAGAATATTCAATCACAATAAAACAGATTATCGTGATGGATGGTTGAAACACACACACACATTTTATGGACGTTATTTCATGTGATTTAAATTGACGCCCTTCTCTTCAGAAGTTCTGCAGTTTGACAATTTTGGATCAACCAACTGGGTGGTTCTTTGAATGTTTGAAAGAACAGTACCAAGTTGGTTAATCAGTTTTGGAGCATACCATCTGGTAATTTAATACACCTATGAGAAATGGCCTCGTAGCTAGTTATAGATGATTTGCCACTTAGAACGTGTGATTTTTGCCATGGCTGTGTTAAATTAGCATATGGTACAGTTTCCCTCCATCAATATTCCATGATATCACCATATATCCAATGTGATATCACCAATGATATCAATGGGGATATATATTGGGAATATCCATACCAATGTGGAATCAATGTGATATCCCAATTCTATGTTATAATATCACCAATTCTATCCCCATGATATCCCCTTTCTATTAGAATGGTTTTTCAAGGCCTTCACCGCCCCGGCATTGTCCATGGATTTGATGGAGATGAGCCAGCAGGATTTTTGTGGGAGACTGTTGGGTTTGGGGGGCGATGTTCATCCCGCCAAACCCTACGATTAGATACCCTCTGGTAATTTAACGTAACTATTGAAAATGAACATTTATAGTGGATTTTCTCATTAAAAATGGTGATTTTCCATAGTTATGTTAGTTTACCAGAGGGTAATGATCTGATAATCATGATTAGATCATCAGATAACCAGATGATAATCATCTTCTTCTGTGAGCTCCGAAGTCTTGGTTACATGATAATCATGAATCATGATTTTGTTTCATGGTTAAATCATGATTAAATCGCTTCAAAATCCAACAAAATGATTGGACAACTCCAGAAGAATCAGATCATCCCGCCGAAATGGTGACCCGGTTTTGCTGTTGGTCCTGGTGAAATATGAGGCCCGATGGCCCGATGGATGCCCAAGAATAAGAGCATGTTGGACTTCTTGAAGTGAGACCATTCCTTTGGAGCGGTTGTTCAATCATGTTTTGACGCATCCTCATTTGATTGGGTTGCTGGTTTTGATATGCTCTTTTCCTTTCTAAGCTTTCTAGCAGTTCAATCTATATTACTACAATTACTACAATAGTATATACAATCATAAACTTCCTTTTTTGGGTGATTAATAGTTAACACCATTCAATACCCAGCTCTTTTTAGTGCGTCATTGAGTCATTGGTATGTTTTGTTCTGTATAGCCCATGAGTGTTGTGACTGGGTCACCGGTCCAGGAGCTTCCACCGTTCTGGCAGGGTCCTCCTGTACTGCTGATGTCCTTCCTGTGCCACACCACGGTGTTGCAGGTGCTGATGATGGTCCTATTTGATGCGATGATACTATATTCGACATGTCTTTGCAGCTTAGATTTTCAGAGTAGTCACACGCTAGAACACTTTTTTGATCTGAGTTTGCAGGAGGAAATGTACTGAATCAAAAGCATTCAAATATCATGAAACTATTCTTTGGCAAACAGTGGATTGCCTGAAATCAACATCATCAACATTGGGATAAACACAATCAACATTGCTAAATCAAACATTCTTGATTTCTAAGTCTGAATGTTTGTCCCCGTTCATCCCCTATTTTTTGCAGCGCAACAGCAGTCGCGCCAGTTGGATTCCGAGCTTTGCCTGGAGGCGAAAGCCAAGGTGAGGACGGCGAGGGCGGATAGGTAAATCCATATCAATCCCCAAGGACAAGATGGGAAACATTTGGGAAAAAATTGGGAAAAAAGATGTTCAAAGTTTAGAACGCATCCATTTTTTTTTGGGGGGGGAGACCATATTTGAAGACAAACCCAAAGAAAATGCAAGGCCAGGTCATGTCAGGTCCTCATATTTGGGTCCCAATGCACCGTTTTTGGTGGTCGGATCCTCGAATGCCAATGTTTCTCCAAGCCCAAAGGCTGGTGACTTCGCCAGATTCGCCCGATTTTTTTTTGTTGCTCAGCTCATCCCATTTTCTTCGTTCATTTTTTAATTTGTTTCTTTCATTTTTCCCCAATATCCCGAATATTTCATCTCCAACTCGGAACTATTTCAAATCACGCAGGACATATATATGTTTTCCAAATGTCCCATATTTTCCCCATCAGTTTTCCAAGTTTTCCCATGTCCCGCACCATGTCCTCCCACCTGGCAGGTCTCCCGCGTGATCCGCGTGGTGATCTTCGGCATGGCCTTGCCGTGTTACGCCGTGGTGGGAGCGGGCGGCCTGTGGCTCTTTGGCGGCCGGGTCTCGGCCAACGTCCTGCAGGAGCGGTGTTACGCCAAGGTGTTTTTGTTGGCCCGTTTGTGGGGTCAAATGTACTGGATCTGGAGGGAATCTACAGATCTAGTAATGGTTATAATTAGTTTTAATATGTTATAATATGTTACAATTAACATTATAATCCGTTATATTTAATGGTTTCATAATGATTGGTGGCTGGTTGGGGTAAGGGATACCCTCTGGTAAATCATATAGCAGCTGGTTAGTGGAAACTTATTTTACACGCCCTATTTGCCAGGGTCTATGTTAATTTATTGGAGATTGGAGGGTATCTAGTAATGGTTTCATAATGATTGGGAAATTCAATATAGTTGGGTATAATTACCAATAATACATTGTTGGGAAACCCGATAATCATGATATCTATTAATGGAACATTGGGTAGTGACGGCTAATGGTCAATGGTTGTAGTTACAATCAACCATTTCATTTAATGGTTTCATATGATTGGAAATTTCAATATACTTGGTGTAATAATGAAACATTGCCGAATGACGGCTAATTAATGGTTATAGTATGTCATATAGTTATAATTAGCCCATTATATCCCGTTATAATCATGATATTTAATGGTTTCACAATGATTCGTTAGGGTGGGGGAAAGCCATTTCTAAAAACCTGGCCCGGAAGGATGGTTTTGCAGAGGACAGTTATGGAAATGTATAATGATAATGTCCTATAGAAGTACTATGGTGTATAGAACTAATTAAGTCTATAATATATTATATATATATCTATATATCCCTCCGGGGCGGACGTTCGCCCAAAGTTTCATTGGGGGTTTAGTTACGTTGTAATTTGTTCAGGCTATATTTCAGATTGTTTTAGGGTTTGCTTAGGGTTGGTTTAGATTTTCTTTAGGGTTTGTTAGTTAATTTTCATGTTATTTAGGGTTGTTTTAGGGTTTGCTCACGGTTGTTTTAGGGTCTATTTAGGGTTATTTATGGTTGATTTAGGGTTGGTTTAGGGTTTGTTTAGGGTTTATTTAGGGTTTATTTGGGGTTAGGTTATTTTGGTGTTCTTTCAAATTCTTGCGGTTTGTTGAGGTCTCAGTTAGCGGCTCGAACCACTGCAAACTACGGAGGATATCTTTAAGATACGCTTCAAAAGGTGATTTTGGCACCATCTTAGGCAAGCGCAAAAATGCAATGAGACGCAGATAATATCAATATTTTGCATGGTCGCAGTGTGCGAAAAATACGCACGGAAACAAAGCAGATTGCAGTCCCACATGGAATTCCGTGGATTTCGGGCAAACGTCAGCCCCCTAACGATATATATATATATATATACAGTTGTTAATTTGATCGATTTTCAGAACATTATACATCAACTTCTCGCTGGGGCATGATAATTCGATATTCATAACTGGATTTGCCCAACAGGATTTTCTATTTTCCAATTTGGTGAATCTACCATTTCGGGAAGTTGTTTTACTTGTTGGGGCCATCTCGAGCAAATGCAAGTTTTTTTTTTCAACCAGGTGGCATTAGCGCATATTTCATTTTGTGTTTCCATCTTTGGGGCGATAATCGCAATTGACTAATATGTCCTTCCAAAAAACCTGGGTTTGCAAAGCAATTGGGGAATACTGAAAATTAAAATTGATGGTGAAATTAAGATCTTGAACCACGGAATTTGGGGTTTTCCCGATTCCTGGTTTATCTGAGGTTGGTGCAACAACCTTGCGTGTCTACGGACCATTCCAGACTCAAGCTGTGGTACCAATTTGGGCCATCCAATTACTGTTAGTATTCAACAATCCACTTAAGATTTATGAGGGGTGAATAACTTTGAGCTGCACCTATCTAGGCAGCACCGTTGGTACCTTACCACCCCATTCAGCATATGCGCGTAACAGCCCCAGCAGCATGGGACCAAAGATTTCACTGTTATGATCATGATGTTTTGGGAATATCACTACCAGTTCCTGGGAAGATATCTAATGATTTAATCATTTAATTATATAGACAAACTCGTATCGTCAGAAGGGTTTAGAAGGTATGGCAAAAATTATTTCTATAAGTATTTGGCTGGAAACCATGCTTAAATCTAGATTGTGCTTGCTTACAATACATATGTACATATGTATAACATATGTATAACATATGTATAACATATGTATAACATATGTATAACATATTTATAACATGTGTATGACATATGTATAACATGTGCATAACATATACATACATATACATACATATACATACATATACATACATATACATACATATACATACATATACATACATATACATACATATACATACATATACATACATATACATACATATACATACATATACATACATATACATACATATACATACATATACATACATATACATACATATACATACATATACATACATATACATACATATGCATACATACATATACATACATATACATACATACATACATACATATACATACATATACATACATATACATACATACATATACATATACATACATACATACATACATACATACATACATACATACATACATACATACATACATACATACACATATACATATACATATACATATACATATACATATACATATACATATACATATACATATACATATACATATACATATACATATGCATACATATACATACATACATACATACATATACATACATATACATACATATACATACATATACATACATATACATACATATACATACATACATACATACATACATACATACATACATACATACATACATACATACATACATACATACATACATACATACATACATACACCTACCTACCTACATCCATCCATCCATCCATCCATCCATCCAGATTTATATGTTATTTATATCTTTACACACATATGCATATGTTTACACCATCCATCATCATATATCCCCATTATGGCCCTAAAATTTCCAGCATGTTATCCCGGCAATCGTAGGACTTTACCAACGACCCCTGGATGGCGGCAGCACGGCTGACTTTGGGACTCATGAGCCTTGGCCAGGCAATCCAAACCACGCTGACCAGCAAAGTCAGAGAAATGTGTCTGAAACATCATCATATAATCATATTATGTATATTTATATACATACCCGGCAAAAAAAAAACCTAGCTATGGAACTGACTCATTTATAGATTATCTACCTATTAACTGTGATTTTTCATAGCTCTCCTAAAATACCAGATAGTATATATATATATGTACAACACATCTGCAGATATGGGATGCTACCAACAATGACTGGGCATCCCAATGCCAACCTACCATTTTTCTGGGAGTTGAACCGTCCCATAAAAATGGTGACTGACTGGGGATGGTTAGAACCTTAGGTTTACCACATAAAACTGTGTGTTTGGGGATTTTAAGCCTCACAATTTCGATCTCGACTTGGGATGATCGATGGTCCACTTGACCGCTGTTTTTTTGCTGTTTGATTTCAACCATAGACGGTTGAAAACCACCAACATCACGCAATCAAATTGAACATAACCCAACAGTGGGGGTGGGATGTTTGGCAACCCCATCAATGTAGACTCCGGAATATAGAGACACTTGTCACTTGTCACTGTATATTGATTGGAGGGATCTTCATCCCAATAAATGATAAATGGATACTTCAATGGCAGGCCCCAAGTAGACTAAACAGCCGATGGGTTTATTCATCAGTGGTTGACGTTCGCCAAGTTAGGTTTGTCTTAAAATAGGGGACAGTACTGGACCTCAAAATCCGACTTTATGATAATGATGTTCCCCATTTAAATTGCAATTTGGGGGTACATATGCCCTTCTACCCAATATTATCAATATTCAGACAAGCCAACTTGAAGCAGCTGCATATAACATTATATACTAGAAAACCATAAAATCCAAACTCCAGTTAAAATCCAATAAAATCCCAAAACATTATTAAACTTCAGTTGCGTCCCCTAAAATCGACTTAGACAAACATCCCATTCACTGACTTTCTCTTCACCCATCCAATAACTTTGAAACTTGCATCCATTAGTTGCATCTTGTGACATTATGATTTATATATTGAACATGCATTAAACCCCAATAAAGTCCCAGTAAAATATAATCAAACAGTGCATAAATTAAACATCCAAACATTAATCCCATCAAAACCATTCATTTCTTAAAGTTCCATTAAACATTAGAAACATCTTTGTTCAACCATTAAACATTCATTAATTTTACGAAGGAAAATCCATGTTCAACATCCATTCAACATCTGCTTCAACGGGTCATAAAACCTATGGCCCCAGGAACGTGGCGAAGTTGGCGACCGCGGTCATCACCTTGCGGGAGGCGACCGGGGAAAAAAAAAACGGCGGCCATCCAGCGGTAGAGGGGAACATGGGGATGTTATGGTGATTTTATGGTGATTTTATGGTGATTCTATGGTGTTTTTCCGATGAAAGACCGGGGATTTCATGATTTCATGGTTACTTAAGCTACAATTCTATGGTGATTTCATGGCGATTTACTGGTGATTTGACCATCTATAGAATGGGATGCTGATCGGCGTTCAGGGTTGCTCCAACTTGTAGGTAAATCCGCGTTACATGGCAGGGTAAATTGGGTCAAAATTCACCATATTTCACAATATATATAAATATATATACATATGATATATATATATATATATACAGTATATATGCATATGATATATATATACATATGATATATATATATATATATATCATGTATATATATATATATATCATATGTATATATATATATATCATATGTATATATAATATGATATATATATATCCCATTTCATTGTTTTTCATTCGATCCAAAGAATCTCCGCGGGAAATTAATTATATATCAATGTGTGTATATATATATGTATATGTCATATGAATGGGTGAAAGTGAAAGTCATTCATGTGTTCCCCAAATTTCATTACAAAAAATAGTATGCCCCCAATTAGATGGTTGATTATCATTTTCTATTGGGTACAAGTCCATATGGACAAATTCATGTCATCACCATGGCCGTCATGGTAACAATAAATAATGATGACGGTACATGATATGATAATAACATTGTGAAATGATTGCATGATGATGTTGACATGGCCAATAATAATCGTAGAAGTAATGTTCATCATAGCAATCCGACAGTCGTAACATTATTACAATGATTAGAATTATTATCAGTTGTAACATTATTATGGTAGTAATGCTGATGTTCAATAGCCGATGAGGAAATTCTAATAGGTGAATCATCTATAAACTGGCCTGTAAAAACTCCTGCAGTAAAACCATGTATTGTACATATCATCGTACTACTCTGTAGCGTTGGTTCAAAAGGACTGAGTGCTTACCGGTTTATTCGCCCCATTGTTATCGTAACATTGTTGGCTGACCTGGTAAAATACAGGTTATCAGCCGTAGTCTCACAACTTTGCTATGGGGACCCCAACTGACCTTCCTCTCGCCGTTCCAGGGTCAGGTCCATCGGCTGTCGCTGTGCCCAATGTGGCCGGGGGCAACCCCGAGCCGATGGATGACGAGACAATGTTCCAACCCGTTGTAGCGTACTTTACCTTCATACAAAACAACCTGTCCCAGATCACTAGTGGGAATACCCTGCAAGTCATGAGGGAAGCTGAACAGAGGCACCTTCAGATAATGCATGGAGTAGTTGACTCAAATCGAAACGAATGGTCAAGTAGACTCGTAATGCAAGAGCAGAAGTATGAACAAAGGCTGCAGGAGGTTGAAGGTAAGGCCATTAGTGCCGTCAACGAGGAACGGAAACGAGGCGACGAGTTGGAGGTCAGGTTAAATCAGGCTCAGGCATCGCATGACAAAAGAGTAGAGGATTTCAAGGCAGAGGCAAACACAAAGCATGATCAGAAAATTGCAGAGGAAAGGCAACGTATCACTAGTGCATTCGAAGCTTCCTATGCACAGACAGTTGAACATGCAAAGAATGCCATAGCTGCCACAAAGAAGCAATATGAAGATCAGGCTGCAGTTGATCAGGCCAGGTTCATCAGTTTGAGGACCGAGTTCGAGAACTACAAGAAGGAGATGGCCGACAAGATCAACGAGGCAGCGGCTCAGAACCTTAGCCTTCAGGACCAAATCGATGACCTTCAGGAGCAGTTAAAGCATGTTGCCAAAGCGCAGCATGCCTCCGTTCCGAGAGCATCCGTCCAGAACGCCGAGCCGGCCGCTACCACTAGCGTGCCCTACTTCAATATTGCCACTCCCAAAGCATCCGATGCACAGGCTGCCAAAGGCAGTGATGAGCCGATTCATGAGTTGAAAACGCCTGCAGTGTTGGCACAAGAAGCAAAAGCCAAGTTGGATGAGCTGCTCAAAGGTGGCAGTCCCAAGCAAAAGCCGGCTGTCGGCAACGACCAGCCCCAATTGCCAACGCAGTCAGGGTTTTTCACTCCCACTGAAGCTATCAAAACTCCCCCAAATGACTCTCCTAAGAGCGTAACCAAGCAACAGCAAGTGATGGGTCCCTCAGATCTCATTGAGTTGGTAAAAGCCTTAACCCAAAGGGAAGAAAAGGATAAGCCAAAAACTAAGGAGGCCGAAATCATCAAGCTGAACAACATGCCCGCTCCGGAGTCGTATAGGACTTGGAAGAATCATGTCAGGGATGAAGTGAAAAGCTGCTCAGATCGCCCAGATGAGGCATGGCTCTGGCTCAATGAGGTGTACGATCAAGAGTGCACCAGAGAGCAGTTGGAGAAGAGACTCCAAGATCCTGGAAAGTTCCTCACGCTGGATACAAAGTTATCAGCAGCGCTCACGCGCTCAGCCGGAGGGGACCTAGCAACTAGGATCTTGAATTTCAAAGAGCAGCAATCCCGAAAAGGCATCCAGGTCAGGGGAAGGTATGTTCTGCTCATGTTGAGGACTACTTCAAGACATCAGAAGAAGCAGGTAGCCTTTACAGAGTAGAAGATCTTTTGGGTGTTGTCAAAGTAGCGATACTGTCCAGGATCTCCGAAGATTCATCAACAAATGGGATGCTACCCTAGCTGGCATGGCTGTCACCCCCGATGATGCTGTGTTAAGGGACATCTTGTTGAGGCAGATCCGACCAAGTCAGTTGCTGAAATATGACATCGAGATGTTTGATCGTGCACATGAGAAATCCCATGAAAAGTCTTATAGTTTTCTTCACCAATCCATGAAGAACTTGATAGACCGTGAACGATTGAGGGAGAACAGGAACCGCATCGCGGAGAAGAACAAGGCTGGGATCAAGGACACAAAGGCCGCACCCGCCAAAGGCGATGGTCGCGGTGGCCGAAAGGGCTCTCCGAGTCGTGGTAGATCTCAGGAACGAGGTGGCAAAGGTGACAAAATTTGCTATAAGTTCCAAAAGGGTACCTGTGATAAGGGGAAGAAGTGTCCATTCAAGCATGTCAAAGATGATAAATCTCGAAAATCTCCCAGAAGAAACAAGACACGTTCACCATCAAGGGGCAACAAAGATGATAAGGGGAAGAAAATGTCCAAGGAAGAGATGGCCAAAACCCCATGTATCTATCATGCCCAGGGAAAGTGCAGACGTGGTGACAAATGTTTTTATAAGCATGACGACAAAGCTGCTGCCGCCACCAAAGACACCAAAAGGGCCAATTCACCCGCTCCCAAGAAGAAGAGCAAGGATTCCACAGCCGCTCCATGCCTGATCCAGAAGTTTGCATGCATCGTCCGAAAACAGCCGAAGGTAACTTCGTGCTCTGATGAGTCAAGTGTCAGCATGAAGCGTCTTAGATTCCGAAAGGCCCCACATGTGATCGAGGTGAAAGCAGTTGGTCGTCAAGTCCCAGTCAAGCACCGTCCAAGAGAGTTCACTAAGGTGTACAAGACAGCTGAAGATGTTCCAGTTTCATCTAAGGTTGAACAACATGAGGCTCAGGTTCGTGCAAGACAGCTTCAAGAAACTGTGAAACTTCATGATTCAGATGTTGCACCTAGTTGTGGGTTTTGATGTTGTAATGAGGACACGCGTGACATCACATGCAAGGAGTGCAGATTCATCAGCGGTCCCAAAGCTCTTAGAGACATCAGTCGTTTACCGTCAATTGCCACGGCCGCGCCAAAGGCCGGCGTCAGTTGGCTTGTCGACTCAGGTAGTGAATCCGATCTTGTGTCCAAGGGTATGCTGAGGGATGTTAGCGCCAAGAACTGCCGTGCAGCCGAGCATCCGATTTCCTTAGTCACAGCCAATGGTTCGACCGAGGCTAATGAGGTTGCTGATGTCAAGTTGTCCGCATTGCCAGATCCCGTGCATCCGTATGTACTTGACCATACCCCAGCTGTGCTCTCCGTAGGAACAAGATGTGTAGATCAGGGTTACAGTTTTGTATGGCCTGCCAATGGCAAACCAATCCTAGTCCGTCCAGATGACAAGGTCGTCCAGCTCAAGATCGAAGGTCATGTCCCAATCCTGGATGCTAGTTGCAAGGTTTATCCCAAAGACCAATTCCAAAAGGATAAGCACCTTAGAAAGTTGTTTGCAATGCCGACCTCACGGTCGAGCTCGAAAGCCAAGCGGGACGAAGCCCAAGATGAAGAGCAATTGGACGAGCTGGTGGAGGATGATGCTCAGCAGGAGTATGTTCGAAGCCGCAAGACTGAGGATTTGCTGGCCGAAGCTGCAAGTACCCAACATCAGTACACTCATTTCCCCAAGAACCCCTTTTGCAGAACCTGCCAACGAGCAAGAATGATGGCTCCTCAGGCACGAAAGAAAGGTGGTCAGAAGAGAATTGAAACTGAGGTGTTTGGTGACCACATTATTGGGGATCATGTCATCATCAAGAAAAATGTAGAAGAGGGTTTCAGGGGGGAGCAAGTTGCATTGGTGTTGAAAGATCTGCACACCCAATATCGGTATGTCTACCCTAGCCAGTCCAAGGACTCACAAAGCTGTGTTGATGGTTTGAATCACTTCATTGGATCAAAGGATGATGTTCAAGTTGTGTACACTGACAATTCCCCAGAATTGATCAGGGCCATCAAGGATTTGGGTTACAGACACCAAACTTCCATTGAATATGTAGATTCATCAAAGTCTTTTGCTGAGCGCGAAGTTCGTCAGATGTTGGAAGGTGCCCGGAGCAATTTGTTGCAATCAGGACTTCCTTTGAAGATGTGGCCATTGGCCATGCAGCATCATGCGACCGCGATCAATGCAAGCCCCCAGCTTGACGGCAGTGAATCCCCGTGGCAACTCAGGTTTGGTGAAGAGTTCCCTGCAATGCACATTCCATTTGGTGCCAAAGTGTTGTTCTGGAATAACCCCAAGAAGTTGGATAA